TTGAAAAGGAGGAATTAAGGCGCTGCACCAGCTGGCGTTACATGTTTCACAAATGCACATTTTGCAACTGTGCAGACACAGCTATTGTAGACTAGATTTTAATATGCTTCTGTTATTTTGATCATGACCAACTGTTCCTTTTTTTTTTTTCTTTTTTTTTTTTTTTTAATATTCAACCTTCCTGAATGGGATTGAGGAAAAATAGGTGAGTTCTGGTGTGTCCTAATTGAAATACTCTGTTGGTAAGCACTCAAAGGCTATTAAGAGTGCACCAGTATTCGTGGGAAGGCAGCAAGCATGCACATCAACTCACTGTACAATACAGTCTTCCAGCTGCATCAATACAGATAGGGAAAACTGCACGGAGGAACTGTTAATGAACATTGGTGGCATTTCTTATCACCTGAAGCGATCAGGATGGCTTCTTAGATACGAAAGCAATCAGTCTCCAGGCAGTGCAGCTTCTGTGCTGACACAGATGGTTAAGACTTCAATTCCTGTAAAATACCTAGCTTACAGCCTTGTTGGATAGGCTAAACTGGAAAATCCAGAGGCTGGCTGGATTGGGAATCTACAAATACTGTATGTCAGAAAAAAGCCAGAAGAATGAAACATTTAAGAAAAACAAGTTAATTTTCATGGTGAAGGAAGGGATGCCATTCAGAGGGACCTCAATAGGCTAGAAAGGTGAGCCCGGGTGAACCTGATGAGGTTCAACATGGCAAAGGGCAGAGTTTTGCACTTGGGCCAGAGGAATCCCAGACATCCATACAGACTGGAAGGAGCAGTCCTTAAGAGCAGCCCTGCAGAGAAGGACCTGGCGGTTCTGGTGGATGAAAAACTTAACATGAGCCAGCAGTGTGCTCTTGCAGCTCAGAAAGCAAATGGTATCCTGGGCTCCATCAGAAGAGGGGTGGCCAGCAGCAACAGGGAGGTGATTGTCCCCCTCTACTCTGCTCTTGTGAGGCCCCATCTGGAGCACTGCATCCAGGTCTGGAGCCCAAAGTACAAGAAAGACAGGGAGCTGTTGGAGAGGGTCCAGAGGAGAGCCACAAAGATGATCAGGGGACTGGAGCACCTCCCTTATGAAGACAGGCTGAGGGAGCTGGGCTTGTTCAGCCTGGAGAAAGGAAGGCTGTGGGGTGACCTCACTGCAGCCTTTCAATACCTAAAGGGAGCCTAAAAACAGGAGAGTCAACTTTTTGAAAGGTAGATAACAGCAGGACAAGGGGAAATGTTGTTAAGTTGAGGGAGGGGAGATTTAGGTTGGCTGTCGGGGGAAGTTCTTTACCCAGAGAGTGGTGAGGTGTTGGAACAGGCTGCCCAGAGCGGTTGTGGATGCCCTGTTCCTGGAGGTGTTCAAGGCCAGATTGGATGGGGCCCTGGGCAGCCTGGTCTGGTATTGAATGGGAGGTTGGTGGCCCTGCATGTGGCAGGGGGTTGGCGATTCATGATCCTTGAGGTCCCTTCCAACCCAATCCATTCTGTGATTCTGTGATTTCAAAAATAAATACACATTCAGTATACTGTCTCTTGTGGCCTGAGTATTTTCATTAATCTTTATGTCGTCGTGAATTTTTAGTTATTATTTGGTTTACGTTTCAGAATAGAATTCTCTACCAAAGCAGAATTACAAAAAGCAGAATATATCACTGTCACACTTCCCTCTGCTTTAGTTTTCCTTGTGTCAGTTTCAATTGGAATTGATTTCCAATTCTGATTTGCACTGCTGCATGTGCTCTTGAAAGTATTTGGTACAGCTCCATGCTTTCCTGACACGTATTAGCCAATGACCTCAATATGTAAAATGAGGCTATGAGTACCTTCACTACAGCCACTAAGAAATGAGTTAAGAATTCCCTGCCCCATCACATCAGATCAGCCATCTCTTTAACCAGATTGAAAAGTAGGCCAAAGGCATTCCCTTTTTTTTCCCCAGGCCTTAGAGAAGCTAGATGAGCTTTGAAAACTATTGCTATTTTTACAATGCTGTAAGATTGCTGTGAAAAGATATATTTGTGAGGTATCATTTTGTGATGAAAAAAATGACTTGATGTGAGTAGTTCTAGTCGCTTGGATGAGTACAAGAATGTATCCTCAATAGAGGATATGGTATTTTTGCAAGATTTTTTTTCCGCTATTCAATTTTTAATAGAAAAACAAACAGATCTCTCTCAGGTCAAATAGAAACAATTTCCAGGACATGGATCCAGAAGAACTGAACTAATTTGCAAACAAGTTAGTGAATTGGTAGTCTAGCTAATCACTTGCATACAGATTGAAATAATATTAAAGAAATTATAAATTACCAAATCACATAGCTCATGGCAAGCAATAGGTTTCCATGAAAATTTTCAGGCTACGGTATCTGATTTTTTGGATATCTGGAGCACCTCCCTATGAGGACAGGCTGAGGCAGCTGGGCTTGTTCAGCCTGGAGAAAAGAAGGCTGTGGGGTGACCTCACTGCAGCCTTTAAATACCTAAAGGGAGCCTAAAAACAGGAGGGGAGTGAACTCCTTGAAAGGGTTGATAACAGCAGGACAAGGGGAAATGGTTTTAAATTGAGGGAGGGGAGATTTAGGTCAGACATCAGGGGGAAATTCTTTACCCAGAGAGTGGTGAGGTGCTGGAACAGGCTGCCCAGAGAGGTTGTGGATGCCCCGTCCCTGGAGGTGTTCAAGGCCAGATTGGATGGGGCCCTGGGCAGCTTTGTTTAGCATTAAACATGGAGGTTGGTGGCCCTTCTTGTGGCAGGGGGTTGGTGATTTACGATCCTTGAGGTCCCTTCCAACCCTGGCCATTCTGTGATTCTGTGATTTTTTTTTTAGAAGTGCACTGTTAGATATTTAACAGGCACTTCTCATTCCGAACTGTCCTTCAAGGTTTAATGTGAAGCTTCTGACCTTTCCTGTGCTTTCAAACAAAGCTCTTCAATCTTTTTTTTTTTTTTTTTTTTTTTACTGTTTTTTCCTGCAAAAAGAACCCAAGCAGCAGCACACTGCTAATAAATGAATTCACTGACCTTTAGGGGAAGATCATTTCACACCTTTCTCCTTAATTTTACCACTACTTGCTTTGCTGGTTGCCCACCTTAACAGAACAGCATAGAGCAGAAAAGTAATCAAACCTAATCATCTGACTTTAAGAAAACTGTAGCATTATGAGCAGTGAGACCTTACAGACAACAGTAAATATGCAAGGGTACCTGAGCACAGCACAGTGGGTATCTAAAGAGTGACATGCCAATATGACCTTTGACCTCTCTTTAAATTGTGGATTTACGTCAAACTCAATCACTGCTCCACTTTCTTACGGGATTTTTCACCTTTAACACAGTAAACGGTGACGGAGTATTTTTCAAGATGAAGTATCATATTAAAGCACAGTTATGCCATAATAGCATTGAACACTGCTGCCTTCCCCAGTTAAAAACAACATTCCCTGGTAATACACATCCTGTGTGTGACTGATCATATTTGGTGCTTGAAACATTGGCTCAGAGGAGCTTTGAGTTGCTTAAGGAGTTATTTGTAAACAGAAGGAAGCAAAAGACCGCACTCAAATCTATTTGGTCAGCAGATTTCACTGTTCTGTTTTCTTGCCCTTTTAGTAAAAAAATTCTAGCAGCATTTCTAACTTGTCATCTAAGCTGTATCAGAAAAGAAAGGACACAACTATGTTACGGCACTGCTCTGACATACAAGAAATTCTCTGGCCCATCCATACCTTTTCTGGGAAAAAACAACAAAGTGACACAAAAAAAGCTACTAATTATATTATGATCTTTATTATATTATTGTATTTATTATTGTATTATTATAACATAATTCTGCTCTACGTTTTTAAAGCAACTCAGACCTAGTGATCCTTTGTCGGGTGGATGTTTCTACAAGCCACAGTACTTCCTGGGTATTTAGTATGTAGGAAACTATCTGAGCAGGGTGTGCAGCAAAGAATCTCATCAAGCCTCTCTACCATCACTACATCCTTGCTGCTGTTCTCTGAAAGTTTCCTCTCTCCTTTATTTTCTGTTGAATTTCCTTGTTTCCTATCTTTACACTCACTGTTCAGTACACTTGGAATAACACTTATTTGAAAATAATGCTTACTCGATTTTTCTTTCTTCTTCTTTGGAGAAAGTTTTCTGCAGTTGCTATGTCCCAGTTCATGCCAGTTTCACATACTTGAATATTGAATAAATTCATTGCAATGTAAAACATCGTGGTATGAAGAGATAAGAACTCATCCTTTCTAAAACAAACTCTCTTCCTTCTGTTGCTTGTTAGACCCAGCTCCACTGTGTTTTCAATCCCACTTCCTGCTGCTCAGTAGCCAAAGGATTAGTATTAAGCAAAGCATTTCAAAGTCTTGTCTGTAAATCTCTGGATCCTCTAACAGCTAAAGCTGATGAGAAAGTTCAATCACCACTGAACAGCAGGCCACCCATCAGAAATGCCTTCTTGCATCTGCAATTTGTGTTATTATTGTACATTCTGACATTTTCTTTGGAAGCTTCAAGAGGGTTTTAGGCAACCAAGAGCTTAAATTCAAATGACTTTTGAAAGACTTCCAATCTTAATTGTTTAAACCACCTTAAAACAAGGACTTCAGGAGCCCAATCATACAGATATTCCTGAAAACACCATTCCTACATATATTTTGCTTTTTTTTGCCTGTTTTTTCTAGAAGACTCAAGTCCTCATTTTAATTACATTTTCACCATTTCGATGCACTCACCTGTGTAATTGGTAGGGCGGGGGAGGAACAGAGTTCATTTTCAACTCTGCACTAATTCTGTTCTACACAATGATCTTTAGTATTGTAATATATATATATATTCATTACTAATTACAATTATTTCTACAGATCGTGTTTGGAAAGATAATACGCATTCCAGTCCAACAAACTGTAAGCATTCATTTGAAGCAAGCCTACCGCTAGCAAAGTTTTCAATATCTTAAGAACTAGAAACTGAAAGTCAAATACAAAACACCTCAGTATTTGAAAAAGATTTTATTAAATGTTTTAATAGTTACAATATTCACCAGCACAGAAGTGTCAGTTTTCTGGCAGGGATCTCAGACATCAGACGCAATGAAAAGACTTCATTATAAAAAACATACGCTGTCAATTACTGCTGTCAGTTGGTAACAAAAATAAAATAAAGTAACAAAAATATCTCCTTCCAATATTTTCATGCATTATATACAAGAAAAGTTACAAAAGATTGTCTTCAGTTTAAATCTCAACTTCTGGAGTCATTTGGATCCTGCCAGTGCCTCAGGTTTAATAATGCACATTTAGTAACACAATATTTTTTCTTATGCAGTTATTCACAGGTCCAGGCACTGCTTCACGAACCAGTATTGCTCTTCAGTAAACCGCCGGCTCCATTCTGAATTTCAGATTTTCCTTTAAAGGAAATATGCACTAATCACCTTCAGCAGTAGTTCCCCTTACACACTGATCAATAAAGTGCATGTTCTCTGGGGTTATGGCACAGAAATTCACTACAATCTTTCAGAGTATCCGAAAATTATCAGAAGACGTTTGGTGAAATTTTAAATTGACAAACTGCATAATTACTAACAAGCTCTGAAAAAAAATTAAAAAAGAAAGTGTTTTTATTAAAATAATTATCTGCTGACAAGTATTGTATCTTGCTTCTGATCTCCTTTAAAAAACAGTTGTAAATATTTTGAGATTTTTCTCAGATGGGAAGCACTTGATTTGACAGGGATTTCTCATTAGTGGAGAAACTTGTCCTGAATTTCTCCTACGTACTTCTGAATGCAAAATAAAACCATCAAGTAATTTCTCCAGCAGTACTTTCAAGCCATAATATCACTAGATTAGTTCGGTATCTCTAAATTTAGTCAAACAATCTGATTATGTAAGATAGAAAAGACAGATCTTGGCAGTTTAATCTGACAGTAAATTTAACCTAGATATGAGAGCCTTTGAAAACACAAACCCAGGCAATAAACTCTGGTCCCCAACTGGGTCACTTTAAAAATCTTTCTAGTTTACCGAATTTCAATATTCATTTTATAATTTTAAACTCTTACTTTCGTGACCTGACTTCAATTTTAGTGATAAACATCACACGATCAGATTTGTAACTCCATCAAAATACTTGCAGAAAATAGTCTCAAAGTTTTCTGTAGAGCTTCTTTTCTCAATCTTTACCAACATCATTTATTTTAATACAGAAATGAACAAAGCAGCATAATTCTGATTGTACTTTCTGAGTAAAATCATCAGTTTATAACCTCATCGCTGCCTTTCAGAATAGCTGGGTATTAGATTTCTTCCATCAGCCTGAGCTGAGCAGCCTCCAGTGAAGCTTAGCCTCTTCCAGTTGCAGTGAGATCACAAGACTGCATGTAAAAATGTAGAAAATACATTGAAACATAATTTCCATTCCTCTTAACAGAAACTAAAATGCCATATATACATGAATTTTTTTACGTAGTCTGATATATAAAAAATAATTGAATTCTTACTGGGTTACTTCCTGTTAGTAACACATTTCTATACAACATCTTCAGCAACTGTAGTGTCAAAAATCTGGTAATAAACTTGATGTTTCATTCCATCTGCAATGTTATAGGACTTGATGAAGCATTCCAGCCATGGCAAGTCATCTACAAATCAAAATCAAATTACAATTTAAAGCTCATTTCTAATTTTTATAGGAGAGAATTACAACTAGAGCAGGATCTTAACTATGATACTTAAGCATATAAAATATTTAAAGAGAAGAAAAAATAATTACATTTGAAATTAAAATTCATAACTATTATTCCAGTTCATATCTCAAAATTTCATGCATCACCAGAAATGCTGATCAGTGACAAGCAGCCTCCCAGAGCACCTCCACCTTGAAAGCTCTTGATAACACTAGTTCTACAGTCCTATAGCATTTATAAAGACTTTCTAAAACAAAATCTCAGTGATACTAAGATTAATGAAACTGGTCACAAAGGGAATCTTCTACACCCTTTACAAAAGGACCACTTTATTTAAAAAAAAAAGACTTTGGTGTGGTTGCCTTTGACACTCCTGTACTTTGTGGGACAAGGCTTCTGAGGTCGAAGCTGTGGCAGAGACATAGAGATACCTTGCACGGACGTGGCCTGGACACAGCTACTTTCTGTCACAACAAAACTACTACATAAAAACCTGTCTGGATCTAGACTGAAGTTTTCTGCTTAATTTCTAAGGGAGTTTCCTGCAGCAAGGGATGATCTAAATCAGAATGTGCACATGCAAACACAGAATCTCACTCACTGCACATGCCAGGCACTGAATCTCTTCCCTAACGTGCTGTGACACCCAGCACAGGGGTGTTCTGGTTCACTTCTATATGAACTGAAATGACAAGTTAGTGTCTACCTTTACATGACGGTATTCACACATCACTGCGTTCCACATGAGAATTCACTGAATCATTACTTTTTTTTTTCTCAACAGGGACTTCTACTATTAGAGAAATGTATCAAAACAAATTGATTAGAACTCCCCTTATAGACACCAGCATTTCTCACTTCTGATTTTTACCCAAGCATAAGCTGAATTCTAAAACTTTGTATAAGTAATAGCAGACCAAAAGACCCTTTCCATTTTCATCTCCCTCTAAAACAACAGCAAGCTGACCTAATTTTCTTCCTGGAGGAGAAAGTGTATTCATGGTCATCTCCATCTTTTGCTGAAGAAAACTATTAGTTAAGATTTCAGAGGCAGGAATTTGGAAAAACTTTTCCTGGAAGAGAACAGAAGAGAGTGAGGTGTTGGAAGAAGGATATGAACTCATTAGCCCCTTTAAAGAAGTAAAAATCATCCAAATAGTTAGTGAAATAGAAAAAAATAATACTTCTAAGTCCAGATATAGGAAAAAACTATGGCAAAGGGCTGATACTGCAGGATGCATTTCTGCATGGAAAAGTAAATAATGGAACGAGGAAATGTTAGATAAACCTTTTCTTTAGATATTATTTACAGTAACATCACTGACAAAACTCCAATTTTGTAATTTCCATGCTTGTTACCTAATTTTGTATCCCTCAGGGCTAATCACTTTACAGCTTCACAAAGTGAACTCAAATTTTTGATGGCAATTTATCATATTTTAAAAAATTAAAATACTACGTAATTTATCCTTTGTGTAATTTTTGTATGAGATGCTTAAGTGACTGTAAGTCAGCAGATAATCCAGTGGCAAAACTGACACAGGTAACTGCTTTTTCCCCTCCTTGAGTTCTTCTGACTATACAACTTCACAATGTTTTCCTACAAAACTCAAATAATGAAAAAAGAACTGACAACATTCCAACAAAAGCGTGACTGGAAGGTGGTGTAAAGTTGTACTTCAAAGTAGCCCAGCTTCTTCTGAGGTGATGCTGAAGGACTGAAGTTTAGGCTAGGAAGGCACAGCCTGTCCTTGAAGTTACCACCAGCAGAGATGCTAGCAGCTGTTATTTCAGAAGAAACTTGTTTCTTTTTCCTGCAGCTGAGCTGTAAACAGTATCTGATGAGACTCTTGGCTACTGTAAACCATAGATTTCTGGAATTCTAAATGGAGAGACAGTTAAAAATCTTTTCCTCCACCTCCCTTCTGCATTTTAGTTTCTTCATATAAAAGGAAAATGAACAGTAGAAAGATGACAAGCACTTTTCACTAGATACACGTACAAAACACTGTGTTTTAAGCAAGACAAAACAACTGCACAAAGAATGAGAAAATATCTCATTTTCTTATATTATATATATTATATTATATATTATATTATATAAGCTGAGCTCTGTTTAGAAATGAGAAGAATGTACCAAACAAGAATCAGTAAGCAAGAAATTTATTCATCCTCATTATAATTACAGAATAGAAGCATTGTGTGTTAATGACTCATGCTAAGGTACTCACAGAAATTTTGGGCCAACAGAGAGGAACTCAGAACAAAAGTGAGAATGTTGAGAGCTTACAAAAACTCTGATATGGAAGAAAAAACCCACCTCTGGTACTGATAAAAAACTTTTAGAAGGAAGAAGATTAAATTAACCTTGTTTTTACAGCCTTCAGAAGGAAAACTTGTACAGCATTTAGCATCAGGCAAAGTATATATTTTTCAATGTCTCAATGGACTTAAGTTGTTTCAGACGAGATTGGAAGTAGATTAATTCTAGGGCAAGCAAAGTAATGGTATTAAAGTGCTTCTGGAATCAAACATATATTTGCATGACTATGGCTATAACCTAGTATCAGGGAAAGAAAGGTCTCTTGTAGTTCATGGCCATATGAAACAATCGGGAATTACTCAATGGACAACTTAGATTCTATCTGGAGTTGAAAAAAAAAAAAAAAGTAATGACATTCTGAACTGCATAAATCCTGAAATTCATTCAAGCAGCATTCAGGTTATCAATAAAAGCAGAATTTATACAGAGAAAAGTATAAAAATCTATGGAGATACAAAATTATCAACAAGCTTCAGCTTTGTCTTTATGCTTTGATATTCTATACATTTTATTGAAAAATAATTAGATCTGCATCCTGAGCATCTTCACTGATGAGCAGCATTAATAACATTACACTTGCAATGGACACTATAAAATGCTGCAGGTAACACAGAATGAATACTTCTATACATACATTTGTTATTCTAGTAACAAATAAAATTCAAATCCACATAATCCATATAGCTTACCTTTACCTAGGGTTACTTACATAATCAAAAAGATATGCATTTAGTGCTCCTGTTCCATCAACTAGTGTGAACTTCATAACGAAAACATACTGGAGTGGTTCAATACCTAAAACTGAAGGAAAAGATGGATCTGCTTTATACAGTGAATATGCAAGATAAATCATAACAACTCACGCAGACAATACCTCTCTTTCAGTGGTAACTTACTTTGAATATTCTAATTAAATCAGAAATTGATAGGCCAAAAAAATAAAGGCTCTCAATGTCAAAGTGTGGTTTGTATTTTGAGAGTGCGTTGCAACTTGCTTAGAAACACTTTAACAGGTGAGACTGGAAAAACACAGGGAGATTTTAAGATACTCTTATCCTAGTAATAGAACAGCTAACCTTGGCTTAGATGTTAGATTCTACCTTTTGGTAGGATCCTCCTACTCCTTTTACCCATGCATGACGAAAGTCTTAAGTCAGCGATAACCAAGGCATTATGGATACACACCTAAGAATCAAGGCAAAATTGTTTCAGGACAGTATCATATCAGCTGACCTTGTGCTATTTCAGTTGGTTCCCACGATGGTTCTCGTTTTTCTGCTAGGGAACTTAGATTCTTGATACTCTTTGGAGTTGAACACTTCTTACATCTAGCATTTAAAACAAGAATAGTGAGACTAACCAAGCATTACAACGTTTATACCAGAGACATTCTGCACAGAAAGAAATAACTCAGATTTCCTTAATCAGTGGCAGCTTAAACTTTCTGATATTTTAAACAACTATTCTACTGGAAACAAGACTTAGGCCATATCAAAACCCTTAATGCTGCTTTTCAATCATTCCTGAATAGAAATAAACTTGGTCTGTACATCTTACATAGCTAAGCATATATTCATGTATCATCACTTGTTTAGCAATACAGACAACATCTTACTTTACAAAAGATGGAATGAATCTGAACTAGCGGCAGGCTCTAAAAGCACAACAGGGTTAGAAGAGAAATTTGGCTTTACCTATGTTCAAACGTATTAAATACAAGTTTCCACAAAAGTAAAAAAGGTTTCTACAAAAGTAATACCTCCTTATGTTACTATGTTGTCCTGTTGTTACTATGTTGTCCTGTACTCAGCACTAGTGAGGTCGCACCTCGAGTACTGTGTCCAGTTTTGGGCCCCTCACTGCAAGAAAGATATTGAGGCCCTGGAACGTGTTCAAAGGAGGGCAACAAAGCTGGTGAGGGGTCTGGAGCACAGGGCTTATGAGGAGAGGCTGAAGGAGCTGGGAATGTTCAGCCTGGAGAAGAGGAGGCTCAGGAGACCTCATTGCTCTCTATAACTTCCTGAAGGGAGGTTGTAGTGAGCTGGGGGTCGGCCTCTTCTCTCGTGTCATTAGTGATAGGACCAGGGGGAATGGCTTCAAGCTATGGCAGGGGAGATTCAGGCTGGACATGAGGAAGTATTACTTTTCAGAAAGGGTGGTCAGGCACTGGAATGGACTGCCCAGGGAGGTGGTGGAGTCACCGAGCCTGGGGGTGTTCAAGGAAAGGCTGGATGTTGTGTTGAGGGACATGGTTTAGTGGGAGCTGTTGGGAATAGGTGAACGGTTGGACTGGGTGATCTTTTAGGTCTTTTCCAACCTTGGTGATTCTAAGATTCTATGTTGGCCTGCAATGTTGGAGGTGCATGCTGGTGGTATGGCAGTAGAGGTTGAACCTTCCCACCAGTATTCTGTTACATTTTGTTGCCGTGTGACAGATGGCAGAAGGGCAGTCTGACACAACAGCATTTGACAAAGAACCACGTATGAAGTGAAGGTGTCACTGAATTCTTCCAAGCAGAAAAAATTGCACCCACTGACATTCATTGATGTTTGCTTAAAGTTCTATGGGGACCAAACAATATGTGTGAGCACAGTGAGGGGTGGTTGGTGACTTTCAATGGTGGCACCTTTGCTGGTGCAGATTTTTATGAGTGTGGCACGCAGGCTCTTGTTCATTGCTGGTAAAAATGTAAAACTAATGGTGGTGACTATGTTGAGAAGTAGTGTCTTGTAACTGAGAAATTCAGGTTTCAAATAGTGTTATTGTTCTCTTTGTATCTGTTGTCATTTCCAAGGAAATAGGAGGTACTACTTTCAGAGTGACCTACATATTGCTGAGTTTTCTGAATTATATGCTGCTGCACAGTACTGGGCAAACATACTAGCTAGCACTCACTGAAAAGTAATACAATATTAAAAGTTATGGCACAGTTACCAGACCTATATCTGTGTACCACATTGCACACTCTCTGTGAACTGTGGAATTCAGACACCTGTTGAAGCTTTCCCTGTAGAGACCAGCACCTACAAACTGACAACTTATTTTACATTATTGTGAATCTCAATAAACAGCAATGGCAAAGAAATCTTACCCAACAATGGGAATTTAAAAGAGAGTAAGACTTAAGACTGAAATAATCCTCTGAGGCCTCTATTTTTATCTGTGTGGAAAAAAAGGCCACAGCTTACTGTTTCAAAGCAATGTATGCGTTTATGTTTTGATTTTTGTCTACCAAGAAAGACCAAAAAAATGCTATTTGTCTGTCTAGAAAATGGAAGATTTGGACATTCTGTGGTCAGTAGACTCATACACACATTTCAGTCTCTGAAATTACTGCCCTAACCATGGACCACAGGCAAGACTGAAGCTGGGGTGCTGTGCACTTAAAGATACAAGACTTATAGTGTAATTGAGCAAGATAAAATCCAAAAGCAATTTAGCCAAAAGGATGCTTTGATATTTGCTTTGCATCAAAGACTTCTTAGATAAGTTATCCCTTAAGCACTGCAGTTTGAATTACTGATCTCTATTACTGCAATTCTTATCAATAAATACTTTCAACCTACCCATAATATTTTATGTTTCCTTGTAAAAGAAAAGGAGCTGAAAGATCTAATAATTCAAGATCATCTTCCTTGGATTTCACAGGAATAACACATTTAAATCTTCTTGTAAGCTTCCAGATTTCTTTTAAGGTTCCACCTATTAAAAATGGAAAAATGTTTTCTTAAACTGTAACCAAAAGTAAATGGAAGAACTTGAATTTCTTGGCTGATTAGATGTTCTTCTGAGGACAACTGATGTTTATCACTAACTGTAATCAAGACTTTATGACAAGTAATTATGGCACTGGGTTGTAAAATATTTATGGTATATATTTCTTACTTGCATTGATGAGGTAATTATAGACGAAATAAGTAAAGGTGCATTATTACTACTGATGTAAATGCCCAATATTACGGAGCCTCCAAAATGCATTTCTCATTACAAAAAATACGTAAAACAAACAGATACTTGAAATTGCTTCTGAAAAGGTCTTCCAAGTCCAGTGACACAGTTCATACCTTTCATATACACCTGAACTCTCATCCCAGAGATTAATACATAAAATTCAAAGTAGTTTTAACCATGGCATTGCTAAGAGGCCTCCAGACTTGTTTTCTTTTTAAATATAAAGCTGCATCAACTGAATGTATTCAGACTCCTAAGAGATGAGTATAAAAGAGAATCAAGCAGGGGTTAGCAGCGATGTGAATCACACTGATTTCAGGTAGAAATATTAAGAATATGCAAGGAACATTAAACTACTGTTAACTGAAACACTTCATTCTTCATTTCAACTAATCTGCAGCAGTAGTTACTGATTTCCCTCATTCCCTTTGGAGGCCCACCTAAAAATTTTGTCTGTTATCCAACTGTTTCCTCAGCTGCAGCCAAATAAGTGCCAAGCTCGAGGTGAGAAGTTCTTGATAAAGATTATGCGAAGAAATAGAGTCTTGTATTGAACAAGAGCAATTTGCTTCTGTTTAACAAACACAAATAACCTTTATTATATCTGCCCAGTAAGTGATATAATGTATTTGCCCTTTGAGCATGGTATCCAGAAAAGCATCAAAAAGATTTCTAAGGAGACTGCAAAATCTTAACCTCCAAAAACTTAAAATATCACATAGACGTGGCATAGGAACAGTTCATAATCGATGTGTTGGGGAAAAATGAGTCCAAACACTCATTATGCTCCAACATGAAGTACTTAAATTTACAAAGATACTTGGCTGCTGGCATTTTAATATCTGAAAATGACTTACCATGTTGTATCATTCTTTTATTTTGTTTTCATAAAGATAAGGTTGTATTACATAGAAAAAAAATGCCAGTCTTGTACACATCAGACATAAGCCTGCTGTCAGAATTAGTCAAACATAAAACAGCAGGAAATAAAAGAAGGTTTGTCCTAAACCCTATGCAAAGGATCCTCTGACTCACACTTAGATATTCACCTCTGTACTTGGACACAACTGAGGACTTTGTTCTGGAATCAGAATGGTACTATATGCATACATTTTTACTGTTCTTCTTCTACTCAAAACATTCCTTATTTGTACTGCTAAACTGCTTTGTCTAAAGATCAGTGGGTATTTCTCTTCCCTGAGGCAAACCTGATTTAAAAGCGAACAAAACAAAACCAGAACTACAAAAACATGCTGTAAGATGCCTTATTTGTCTGAAACAACACTGACATCCAGAGGCTGACAAAGTTAATTGTAGGCTTGTAGGTCTCCCAAACCTTTTTCTTGCAGCAGAAGTCTTCCATACCTTTTCCATATCAAGACTAAAAAAAAAACGCTTAGACAACCCAAATCTGAACAGCAAATCAGTAAGCACAGATGGAAAATAACATATTAACATTTTAATTTGGGGAATTGTTTGGAACAGACAGAAGTACCTGACCAACCTTATAAACATTCAAAAATTACTTTTTCCTGCGTGTACTACAAATTTCCTGGTCAGGTCTCCATTTGTTATAAAATGCCTTAATGATCACTGCTACTTATACTGAATACAACTTCAGCATATCTTAACTTTGTTTAGTTATTTGTAAACTCAGAGTGGGCACTGTTATAAAAAGTGATATATTTATAATTTCATCTTACCTTCTATCATAAGCAAGGTATTTTCAGGACGTTGAAGCATTTCATAATGCTTTACAAAATGAATAGTTACTTTCCTTCTGCTCTCGTCTTGTGTAGTCCACATTACAGACTCATACCAGGACATACTCTGTAATTCTGGGTTTGGGGCAGTAGCTTCACAGCCTTGCAAAATTAAGTCGAAGGCATCTCCATTTGGAACTTCTTGCCTAAAACCATTTCCAAAATTAGTAAGTAAATACTAACAACAATCCAGCAAAAAGGAAAGCACACTTCTAAATAAATGGTACAATGTAGTCACAAAACTTAAAAGTACATGAAGGAATAGCAGTTTTGTTTTTATGTCAGTTAAGACATTTAAGGTTATATAGCAAATTATATAAAGATAATTCATTTCCATTTTAACAAACACTAAGTAACATAAGCTTACTTATGAGCAGAGGCAGCATGGCAGCATTGTTCACACATATGCAAATCCATGGAAAAACAAATGAGAAATTTAAGGGACTTCAGTTAGGCTGTTAAAAAAAGAAATCAAAACCCACACAAAATTGCATTCCACTGTACTGAAACTGAATGACCACTTACGCTTATATAACATTTAGTTATATGAACTTCCATGTTCCAGCCTATTTTGCTTTGCGTAGCTTAGAGAAAGAATGAAAAACTGCAGTTTAACTTCACATATGCACTGTAAATGGAAAATCTGCAACTCCATGTAACAGTTTCTTTCCCATCATGTGCAGATGCATCACTCATATATTTTGTTCACCCAGAGAGAAATAAGACAAGAAATTCAAAAATTACTACTATTGCCAAAAACAGGCAAAGAGACAGCAGCTGGCACAGACAGAAAAAAAATACATTAGAATGTTTTCTCCTCAGACCTGCCTGACCTGTCTTAACCATGGCATGGACAATGACAGAAGAAGTAGAAGTTTGGGCTATTTCACAAAACATTGAAGGAAAGTAGGTAGCAAACTTCAGAGTAGAGTAAAAAAGAAAATAACGACAACTCCTGAAGTTTATGTTGATGATTTCTCTTTCAAATCCAGGAACACCCCCTGCTTTCACCACTGAGAATTATTCTTGTGCGTAAAACACAAACTTTGATATTCTTCTGCTATAACTGCAAAACTACCATACAAAAAGTCTTTTTAACTTTTATTTAACTTTTATTACATGAAAACAGTGCTGTTCACATGAACTCCTTCGATGTGTGTTTCTGGATTACTACTCTAAATGAGAAAACAATGGACCTAATATAATAGGTCATTACCCCTGATACACCCACTGAACTCCCCTCGTTTCTATGGTCTGTAGATTTCCTGCATAGGCAGGAATGGAATTATTTTTTGAACTAAATGATACACAAGAGTCATAATCTCTTTAGTGCAGATATACAAAGGTAACTAGTTCAATTTTTACCAGTATCAGAGGAAAGCAAATGCTACTCCTAGCTAAAAAAAAAAAAAAAAACGGCAAGAAGGACTCACTGAACTAAACGGTCATCAATCTCACCTCAGTCTCTGGTAAGGTGACTCAGCAGCTAAATCTGGAAACCATTTCCAGGCATGTGAAGGACAACAAAATCATTAGAGGTAGTCAGAACAGATTTACCAAGGAGAAGTCGTGCTTCATCAACATGATAAGCTACTACAATGAAATGATCAGTCTAGTAGATGAAGGGAAAACAGCAGGTATTGCCCACCTGGACTTCAGTAAGGCTTTTAATACTATCACTCATAAAGATCCTCACAAACAAGTCACTGATGAATGGGCTGGATGGGCAGACAGCAAGGTTATTGAGAACTGGCTGAACAGCTAGGCCCAGAGAATGGTGATCAGTGGTGCAAAGGGTGCAAAATCTATCTAGAGGCTAGAAATTGGCAAAGTATGCCAGGGGTCAATATGGAACACAGTCCTGTTCACATCTTCAGTAATGATCTGGATGATGGGGTAGAGTGCACCCCTAGCAAATTTGCTGATGACTCAGAAGAGTGGCAGATATATCACAGTTGTGCTGCCATCCAAAAGGACCTTAACAGGCTGGAAAAATTGACTAAGAGGAACCTTGTGAAATTCAAGAAGTGCTGCACTTTCTCAGAAAATAACTCCATACACGATACATTCTGCGGTCCAGCCAGCTGGAAAGCAGCTCTGCAGAAAAGAACCTGGGGGTCCTGGCTTAAACATGAGTCAGCAGTGTGCCCTTGCCACAAAGAATGCTGCTGGTGTGCTGCTTTGTAAATTATCACTTGCAGGTTGAGGGATGTGATCCTTCCCCTCTACTCTGCACTGATGAAGTCACACCTGGAGTACTCTGTCCACTTCTCAGTTCCCCAGTACAGGAGAGACGTGGAGATACTGAAGAGAACCCAACAAAGGGCAAAAAAAAAAAAGGACTGAAGTATTTCTCCCGTAAGGAAGGAATGAAGAGAGCTGGAGATGTTTACCCTGGAGAAGGTTAGTTAATGGGACATCTCATCAACATATATGAATACTCAAAAAGTTGTAGAGGACAGAATCAGGCTCTTTTCAGTTGTGCCCACCGGGACAAAGTGATGAGCATGAACTAAAACACAGGAGATTCTGTCTGAACATCAGGAAACACTTTACTGTGCAGGTAACTGAGAAATTGAACAGGCTGCCTAGAAAGATTGTGGAATATCCTTCCTTGGATATGCTCAAAAGCCACATGCACATAATCTGTGTGGCTTCCTCCAGCGGGCTTGGACCAGCTGACTTCAAGAAGTCCTTTCCTGTTTCAATATTCTGTGATTCTGTGAACATTTTGGAATTTAGAAGGAAGACTTCAGCAGAAGTCTGAAAAACAAAAATGCACCTCTCTGAAAGACTTTATGAAGAGTTGTATGCACCTCACTGCATAAAATGTTAAAGGTTCAAACTCTCACTGAATTTTGTTCAGTCAAGTTGCTGCTTAACATGCTAAGTATGCAAAAACAGACAAAGAACTTCTTCACCTTAGTACAATATGTAAGAGGAAGGAGAGAGGAGCTCAAATCGTATTTTCTTCCCTGATATGTTAACTTACATATTCTTGAATATTTTTACCTCATGCATACAGTTGAGAAAAGAGAAATCAAATTTCTAGAATATAATTGCAAGTAGTCCAATTACTGCAGCAGGATGGTAGTCTGAATAAGAAATATGCTAACTGAAGTCTTGCAAAACTTTCTGGTTTAAAATCTGTCCTCATTCTGTGGCAAAGAGAAGGCAGTAATTTGTAGAAGTGAAACTTCAAATAAGAATGTGACAAGTAAAGAATACATAAAAAGTCAAGGAAAACTGTAAGATAAGTACATAGTCAACAAGGAACAAACAAATTCCTGTCAATTTTATAGGCTTATACAGAGTTAGCAATTATATCCAAAACAGTGACAGAAATGGCAGAGACAGTAATTATTTTCCATTAATACTTGGCAATAAAGATCAGGTACTTGTGTACTGTGAAGACAATTAAGCACTTTTCACATTAGCAACCAAGATAATGCAGTAAGATCTGACAAGGAGAAATAGTTAAAGCAGCAGATGCCACTTTGCACCTAGAGCACTACGAGAAGGCTAGCAGGAGCATTTTGTTGTCTCAGCAATGTGCAACGAATAAAACTCAATTATACAAAAAATTTCAAATGGACAGGAGATGCTAAAATGCTATCACAAGAAAATTATTAACACCAGTAGCTATAAAACTGCTTTCTTAGAGCTTATGCAAGGCTAAGCCAGGCAAAAAAGTGATTCAGGATTCAGATGATCAAGAATAGCTCTACAAAGTATATTATTCAATATTTCAATCAAAATTAGGCTATGTCAACCAAACTTTCCCTCATTATTAGCAGAAACTTCTAGGTAAGATTATTTACAAAAGCATTATTTGTCATAATGAGAAACCACATCACCTGATAAAATGGGTAAGTAAACTGATTCAAGTTAAAAAAAAGACCAAAAAACTAAAGTGAATGGTACTGTTCTTATATTTCTGGATCAGGATAAGATATCTTCTCTGGAAGATTCACTTTAGTCAAAGATATTTTATTAATTAATGCAGACCATAATTTGGAGACTATCACATCTTTTTGCATATCCTATTTTAAAACTGCACGACAGAAACAAGTACTTAATGCAGTGTTAGTACGGAAAAAACTTCACTGTCAAATCTGAAAATCAAGAAAAGTTGTTTTGAAAGCACTCAAAGGATTCTGCAAATGCACATCACCTGATGATTTCAAATTTTCTTACTACCACTAAGTTTCAAATCTCTGCTTGAAATGAATTACATTTAAACGCAGCTTGTTTTACACAAAAAGAAAATGAAAATACACGGAAAATACAGACAACCTAAAACATATACAACAATTTCTAAATTACTTTTATTACCTAGAACACTTACAAAGTATTGCATTTGGAACAATGAAGTTTAACAGACTGATAAAGCTTCTGGGGTTTAAAAGATCTCAGCTTTGCTTTAATTCGATACTGTTGAGGAGCTCTGCTGTTCAGAACAGTTTTCAGTACCGTGTTACTCATATCCTGATGATCTGTCAATACTGAAAAATAACAAAAAAAACCCATACGTACCTATTAAATAACATAATATTTGGAACATGAGGAATCATCAGCATGGATTAGCATTTTGCCTTAATTCCCTGCTTTTTTTTCCCTCAGCTGCAGCCTCAGTTTTATTAATACAACATGCTACTTCAGCTGTTAAGTAAAATCATAACAAGCTGTGGGATCATGGCGTACTTCATGGTGTAGAAATTCAACGTATAGAAAGAACCAAATGTAAACAAAATATATAAATATGCTTTATTCCTTTATAAATCAAAACAATTCATAAACTTATAAGATTCCAATCTTATAACTGTTCTTACTGTAGTAAGTAATGGAAATTACTTCAACAATTTTTTTTTTTTTCTAGTGAGAATAAAGTTTACTTTGACAACAAAACGTTTCCTACCTGTAGCAGATAATTGCTGACATCTCTGTAACGGCGATTCAAGATCTGAAATCAAGAAGGAATTATTTTCCTTCTTTACATCTTTATCACGTAGACTCACAAAACCAGATAAACAGACAGGTGCACACACAAAACAAAAAGCTGAGCAAGGGAGAATGGAAATCCTAATAACATATGGAAATAATACATAAAAGGAAAGCATGCAAGAGACAAATATTAGATGTCAAGAGCTATTATGTTTGTGGAGAAGTTAGTGCATATATTAAATAGCAACACCCATGAAAATAAAAATTTTCAGACTGTATACAGTGAATAGCTGCTAATAGTAATCATACTTCTGCAATCTTTCTGGACAAAAATATAGATACTACTCAAAAAAAAAAAAAAAGAAAGATTGCCTAGTCCCTTCTTTGAACAGCCTCTATGACACATGCATGGAGCAGCAAATCTATGCAAAAATCTCTAAATATTTTATTGATGGCTAAGTAATGTAGGATTTTAAAAGCCAGCAACAAAGGCATAGACTATATTCTAGCTCTAGGGTTTAACTAATGTTTATTTTTAAGATTAAAATATCATTTAAAAAGTAAGACTGAATCTGGAGAACTGTCCCTGTGCTATTACTATTCCATTGTGTTGCACCTTGAAACTCTGCCCCTACCACAACTTTTCCATCCAATGGCTTTAGAAAGGATTCTCAGTTGCTAGCAGCTTAGTGGTGCTTTCAGCATGTGTCTTTGAGGAATCCTCCTTTAGAGTAAGGAAGTTATGACACTCCACTTTATGACCTTTACAGAGTACATTTAAGGACACTGTTCGTGTTTAATAATTCAGTCACTTCCTCGCAGGAAAGTATTTCTTGTTATATGTGAAATGCTTCTGCTGCGAGATGGATACAGTTATGTCAACGTTCAGTTTAATAATCCAAAAGAATTCCCTAAAGTTTTGTCAAAGTAACAATCACACACTTATTTGGACCATATGTACCTTGACCATACTATTCTTATATATACATATCAAAGAAAAAAGAGTGAGTTTTTAATTGCTTTTACCTGTTTCAATGTCAAAAGTGTCACCTAATTCCAACGAAGACACGCTTTCCATATTCTGACTGTCTATCAGTTCCACACATTCTAAGAACCTAAAAATAAAGGGCAACACATTTTCATAGTCTTATGAGACTTTCACACACAGGTAGACGTATAAATTACACATAAATGAATCCTGTGATTTATCAACACACAGGTAAAATGCCCAGACAAATTCTTCAACAGAGACAAAAAACTCAACTGAATCAGAAGCTGCAGGAAGAATGTATATTAATGATGCAGGCAACAGCCTCCTTTCCAAAGCACTGCTGGAATTTCAAACACAATACACTGCCAAAAGAAATCCGTACTACTGGAAACAGAATTCCAGTAAATAAACAGAGATGTCAGTTACTTACCTTTTCTTCATGTACACATTCAGCTCAATAAAGCACTTACATGCACGTGCTCAAAATATCCTCATTTGGATCATCATCTTCTAAAAATTATGTTGCTATGAAAGTGTATTATTGTGCCCTGGATTTATCATTATAGCACTATAAGATAAAATCTTAATTTTCCATTTGAAAAATTAGCCTTCACTTACTTGCCCTCCCAAATATCTATTCTTCATCTTAACAGTGCTAAAGTCATATTCTGTTCCAGAGTTCCCAGTTTCTTACATCCATTTACAATTCCGAACTGCATAGTTATAACTGTTGTCCAGAATCATGTAGGAAAAAATGTATAGCACTTACGTTTTCAGTTCCTCAACATCTGGGTTATTTTCTGGTAAGATTCCTATTCCTCGACCATAGCAAGTGCCACCATGAAGATGAAATTCTATATGCGATGATATATCTTCATTTTTAGCACTTGCCTGTTTTGTATGAATACTGTAAATTCTCAGAAAACTTCCGATCTTAAAGAGAAAACAAAGATTTATAACACAACGTTAGCTACTTAATCTGAAAATTCATAAAGCTCTCTCTGTTTTTACAGAATCACAGAATAGCTGAGGTTGATAGGGATTTCTGGATGTTGTTTGGACCAAACTCATTGCTCAAAGCAGAGTTAACTCGAGCAGGTCACTTGAGGCCTTATCCAGTTGTACTTTGAATATTTTCAAACACGGAGACTCCAGAAGCTCTCAGGCTGACCTGTGTATTTTGCTTTATCAGACAATGTGAACAGCAGCAAAGGCTCCATTCAGAACCAGTGTTCTTACAAAATCTGATTCTCAAACAGGAAGACAGACCAAGGAAGCCAATGTATTCCATTTCTAAGGGCATAATTTGTCTTCCATATTCACTGTTCAGCCTTCAAGCGACTGATGTGCTGTAATCTTCCCAGGTATGATGAACACTCAGCAATTTACCTCATGTCCATCATCATGCATGGCATACTGTTTAGGTAAACATACACATCCAGTTATACACATTTATCAACCATCTCTCACTTTCATGCTACAGGTAACATTTTTCAGTGTCAGAAAAAAAGGATGTGTGTTTGAAACTCAGTGATTCTGACACTATCCCAAACTTTCTCAGCTTTACTGCTCAGGGACGTAGAGCACACACTTCCTGTTTTGCTTAGTCATTCTGTATTTTCTCTAAAAGTTGTGTCAAGTTACACAAAGGGACTTTCAGCTACCTTACACAAATACCTATTCAGAAAGAAATTAAGGAGTGGTGATCACTGAATATAACTTTGCAACTATGCTTTTACTTCTAAATTTCACTCCCTTTATCTCTTTCACCACCATCCCCCCTCCAAAAATCCCCAAACCAATGTTCTAGAGGTAGGTAATCGAGAGACTGAATGACATTGTTAATTTACCCTTGATGGGGTACAAAGGCCTTTGAAACAAATTTACTAGCACCTAAATAACTTCTTTAAAGCATAATCAAAGATTCAGCTGATAGATGGCAAGTTATATTCAATAACCTGGATTTACTTTTGCTTTAAGTATCTTTTAAATAGCACTATATAAATGATAAATTATTTTAAATTGACTTCCATTAGCATTAATATTACAGCAGCCAGTCTGTTAAGTCTCATTTCAGCTTCAGCTCTCACTTTAGATACACTAACAGCCAGTGACAGAGTAACTTTAATCTGCAGAAAGTGAAGAAGTGTGCTTATTAGACTGAACTGGCTAGGTCTTACAGATTACATGTAGACATACATATGGATAAAATCAGATAGAGCAGCATATTGATTCTTGAATCCTCCTCTGTATCACAGAACAGCCTACGACTATATAATGTTGGTAACAAACTGCTTGCTTAAACAATAATTACATATGAAAAAGGTAGCATACTTTGAAATTCAGGCACCTGGGACATAAAAAATGCACTTGGCTTTTAGCATGGAGTTTTAATTGATGTGCACTAGTAAGGAGCTGCTCATTTTGTTCATTCAAAGCATCACGCTCATTTCACACAACTCATTCTTCGTATATTCCGCAACCACTTTAATACTGGTGACAGACTGGTAGCATCAGTGTTCCAGAAACAGGTTAGAAAGGAGGTATGCATGTCATCTCCCACTCAACGGGCAAAAAAAATCTTACAATCACACTATAAAGCATCACATCATTGACCTTTTATCAAATGTTTCCATTAAATATATGCTTAAAAAGCACCACACCTAGCTTATTTTGTTCTTCCTGTCTTAACCTCCACGTGAAATAATCCACTTTTCAGTTCTTCTCCCCAAATTAGAGCAGATGTGTAGATCTCCATAAGCTCACTCAAGAAACTTAAACACACAAACATTCTGCAGAGAAGCAGTGGACTTGGCATGCAATTGAAGCCACAGCTGAATAGAAGCCATTTTGCATTAACTGAACCCGTATCTACCATTATGCTTGCTATAACAAAAGGGCTTTTGACTATGACTCAGTCACGCAACTGAATATCATTACATCATTTTAATTCATCCTGAAACAGAAACACTCCTTACAGTTGTATCAACACAGTAATGTACACATCTATGGCAATATGCCAGAAAAATCCCCTGCATTTTTCAAGCCCTCCTTTCCTTTTTATTGCTAATCTCCAACAGAAACAAACAAGCATGCAAAGCCTGCTGATATCAGTAGGAAGGTTTCAACGTTTAGATGGTGTTTAAGAGACTGATTGGACACTGAATAAACAAAAATCAAAGGGACAGACAACATAAAACTAAATCAATGACTATGATAAATGCTTTTGGATAAAGAGCCTTAGTTCCTAGCTAAGTTCTACTTATAAAATAACCCTATGTCAAACTTTTTTTCTTTCAGAAAGCAATTTAAGGGCTACTCCAATAATAATGCCTCCTGTTTTACTACACTGGCTGACTATGTCAGAGGTAGATCTTGGTGGAATGGCAGTAGAGGACAAACCTTCCTGACAATATTCAGATACATGTTGTTGCCATATGACAGATGGCAGCAGAGGGACAGTATAACAAATGGTGTCTGACACAGCAGTGCATATGAAGCAAAGGTGTGTCACTGAATTCCTCCATATGGAAAAAAACTGCACCCACTGACATTGACACTTGCTGAATACTTATGGAGACCAAACAGTGGATGTGAGCACAATGAGGGGTGGATGGCTTCTTTCAGCAGTGGCAACAGTGACGGTGGGTCACCTCTGCTGGTGAAGATTTTTATGAGTGTGGCACACAGGCTCCTGTTCACTGCTGGTGAAAAATGCACAGCTACTGGTAGTGGCTACATTGAAAAATAGTGTTTTGTAGCTGAGTACTTGCTCTATCAAAACAGTGCTGTTGTGCTCCCTGTATCTGCCGTAGTTTCCATGGAAATAAATAGCAGATATTACTTTTGGAGTGACCTGTGTAGAAGTCATCGGAAAAAAGGCTGCTATAATTGAAGATCTTTTTGTTTCAGAAACACCTTATGAAAAAACTAAGTATTTAATGTTTAATTACATGCACAAACTTAAAACTTTACTTGTAGTGGAAGAGAGCCAAGAAATCAAAAACATAAAATGCTGGGTTTGCCTTCTCAAACTGCATGCTGAAATTAACGCAAAAAGCAATGTTTCAACACAACAACTAACTTCCCAAGATGCGTAATCACCACAGAAATATTACTTTTTTCCATCCACATTTTATTAAATCTCTTCTGAAGGCATTATTGTTATTTTATGTTTTAATATCACTCACAACTGTATTACAAAGATGCATTATAATCAGCACTGTCAAATACTGAAAAAAGTCAGGAAGGTATAAATGCAAACACAAAGTAACAGATCTGACTGTGCAAGACAGGCCTGCGTTTTCCATAAATTCCTTGGGGGGGCAGCATTGCTTACTCTTAGTAGCAGCGAGTAACTACCGAGCGTATTACAGCTAAAATATTACTGCATTTGTGTTCACTGAATGCCTGCAGATCACAGTATACACTGTATACTTGTCTGAGACAAATTATAACCTAAATTAAAGCAAAATCCATGATTTACAGAGTCATCACTAAAATCTAGTACAAAAGTACCGTAATTATTTGACCCGACTGCAATTCTATTTACAAACTACCTGCCTACTGCAGAGAAAATTTATTTCAAATAAAATTAAAACAGTAAGAAAAAAATCTGGCAGTATCATAAAATATAGCAGTAATGATATCCTACTTGCAGGACAATTCAAACATGACTACTCTTAAAAATAGGTATCAAAGCTAAAGAAAACTAAAAAACAAGTCCCATACACAGTTCCCTGTAACTATTCAAGTTAAAAACATTTTTTAGCAAAGCAAATTCTCGCAATTTCTTCAAAACAAAGGGTTGCATTTACATTTAGCACTGGTGAATTTTGGAAAGTGATTTGTCACAGCAGCTAAATGTTGATGTTTTGTCACCAGTGTCTGTCCAGAGCTTGTCTTTATGCACAGGAATCACTTAAATTCATCTGTACTGATTTGGCTGTCAGGTGAGGTCCTGGATGACTGGAGGAAGGGTCACATCACTCCCATTTACAAGACAGGGAGCAAGGAGGACCCTGGGAACTATAGACTGGTGAGTCTCACCCCTGTGCCTGGGAAGATCATGGAACAGATCATTCTGGATGACATGCTTGATCACACGAGGAATGAACGTGTGATCTGAGACAGCCAGCATGGCTTCATCAGAGGAAGGTCATGCCTGACCAATCTGGTGGCCTTCTGTGATGGAGTGACGGCATTGGTGGACAAGGGAAAGGCGACCGATGTCATTTACCTGGACTTGAGCAAGGCCTCTGACATGGTCCCCCACCACATCCTCATCTCCAAATCGGAGGGAAGTGGATTTGATGGGTGGACACTCGATGGATAAGAAATTGGTTGAAAGGCTGCAGACAGAGGGTGGTCATCAGTGGCTCTATGACCAGGTAGAGGCCGTCCCCCAGGGGTCTGTCTTCGAACCAGTGCTCTTTAATGTCTTTATCGGTGACATCAATGTGCACCCTCAGCAAGTTTGCTGATGACACCAAGCAGAGTGATGTGGTTGACATGGTGGAAAGAAGGGATGCCATTCAGAGGGACCTCGACAGGGCCCAGGTGAACATGATGAGGTTCAACACGGCAAAGTGCAGAGTTTCGCACTTGGGCCGGAGGAATCCCAGGCATCCATACAGACTGAAAGGAGCAATACTTGAGAGCAGTCCTGCAGAGAGGGACCTGAGGGTCTTGATAGATGAAAAACTTAACATGAGCCAGCAGTGTGCAAGAAGGCAAATGGTAGCCTGGGCTCCATCAGAAGAGGGGTGGCCAGCAGCGACAGGGAGGTGATTGTCCCCCTCTGCTCTGCTCTTGTGAGGCCCCATCTGGACCACTGTATCCAGGTCTGGAGCCCAAAGTACAAGAAAGACAGGGAGCTGTTGGAGAAGGTCCAGAGGAGAGCCACAAAGATGATCAGGGGACTGGAGCACCTCCCTTATGAAGACAGGCTGAAGGAGCTGGGCTTGTTCAGCCTGGAGAAAAGAAGGCTGTGGGGTGACCTCACTGCAGCCTTTCAATACCTAACGGGAGCCTAAAAACAGGAGGAGAGTCAACTCTTTGAAAGGGCTGATAACAGCAGGACAAGGGGAAATGGTTTTAAGTTGAGGGAGGGGAGATTTAGGTTGGCTGTTGGGGGAAGTTCTTTACAGAGAGAGTGGTGAGGTGCTGGAACAGGCTGCCCAGAGAGGTTGTGGATGCCCCGTCCCTGGAGGTGTTCAAGGCCAGATTGGATGGGGCCCTGGGCAGCCTGGTCTGGTATTGAATGGGAGGTTGGTGGCCCTGCATGTGGCAGGGGGGTTGGAGATCCATGATCCTTGAGGTCCCTTCAAACTCTGGCCATTCTGTGATTCTGTGATTTTTAGATCACAGAATCCACATATTTTATGGCAGATATTCAAGGTGATTTTTTTGTGATCATTTTATCCTATCAGCAGTTCAATTTCACTAATTGTGCACTACCTGCATGTGACAGGAAGCACATACACTGTAATGGGATGTGGTCCTTCACATCCAAGGAAAGGAATACCACAAATTTAAATCCATGAAAAGGACTGTGAAATTTCTGGATGGAATGGTCCTTAAAGGTCATCTGGCTCCAATCCCCATATCATGGGCAGGGCTGACACCCACTAAATCACGTATCTAGTACTTAGCAAAATACCACCAATGGAGAAATGCATGTCATAGATCTAATTTTTGAGTAGTATAGTGAAGTCTGCACGAATCCTAAGAACCTCTAGAAACACAGGAATAAAAGACAGAAGGATAACAAAGTAAGACCTACAGGGAGAAAGGGTACTCTGCAGAGCTAGCTGCAGGCTGGGGTTCCTTGAAAAATGGGAAAGCCTCAAGCACTCAGGGTGCACAGGAGAGGGAAATTCAAGAAAAAGCAGTGAACACCATTATCTCTGCTTCGCTGTAGCTCTGTTTATGTCTTTCTGTCCCAGGAAATAATCTATTCAGAGAGATAACACTTCTGAAAATTTTGTTTGTGTTTTGCTAAGGCAGAAAATGCTGAAAAGTCACAACTTTTATTACATGAAGGGAGGGCAGTAACAGGTGACAAAAAGTCCACGTACAGTATCAACTACAGCATACCTTAAAAGAGACTTTAACAAATGATTGCTTTCTGACACTGTGCTCTAGGATTTACTATCAACTGACTATAATATATAAGCCAGTTTCTCTACACTGTTCCTTGGTTATTTACAACGTTCTTGTCTGAGCATGTAACCTACAGATACAGTTTTAATGTAAGAACAAATAATTCAGATTTATTGTGTTTTTTTCTGCCCTTCTGCAGACTGAAAAACTGCATAAAGTGTATTGTTCCTACACAAAACTTCATTTCAAAAGTGCAACTGTCATTGCAAATGGTACAACATGGGAGTGTAGCCTAAAAGCTCCTCAATGACATCCAATAAAAAGGCAATTCTACATTACATTCAGATGCAGAAGAGATGGCTCAAAAATTGAGCACTTTTATTGTTTCTGAAATAATAAACTGGCAAAAAATCAGTACGCAGTTTCTGTCCACATTATTCTTGTGCTCACACTCAGAAGGTGGACATAGATGAAGTAAATTCCCACCAGTTCAATAGTACACCAAAATGATTTTCTAAAAATCTTTGTATAACAAATCTTTGAAATAAAATATTATATGGGTAAAAGAAGAGTACTTTAGTTACACTTTCTTATAACACTATATGATTTTCGCTAGTATTTAAAAATATACCTTTTATTATATTAAATTTTATAAGCCACTTCAGCAATTTAGATTTTTCCATAAAATAAAATTGTGTAAATTGTAATCTGAACTCAGCAAATCTTTCTGAAGTTTAATTATAAGGGTATTATTTTTTTTTTTCTTCAATAACTCTACTAGGATAATCCACTAAAAAGTGGAAACGAACAAACAAAAACCCCCACAAAACACGAATATCTTAACACTTCTACAGTTTACATGAGTGAAAGTAACACTTCCTGTGTTTCTGTAGAGAAAAACAGCCTGTGCCACTCAGTAGGTCAAGTCAGGTTCCTGAACAGTTTCACATCAGAGCTTCAGCTCTGCACTATGCAGTGTCCAACAAAAGCACAGATACTTCACAGTTAAGAAAGAACAAGTAAGATTGAAAAAAAGCACAAGGGAGAATTAATGAAAAACTCCCAATTTGCACGTAATCAACAGGAATTCCTAAATATACTGAATATATTCATTAAATATTAATTAAAATTCCTAACAGTAAATATTTTCCTTCTTCATTTTCATAGAATGGTTTAGGTTGGAAAGGGCCTTAAGGATCAACCTTCAACCTCTCACTATGAGCATTCTTAGACTCTGGCCTAAGAAATGTCTACCATGTACCTTTGTTTTGTGTCAAACACTACCTTAAAAACTATGCTTGGGTACAGAAGACAACCCATAAGATTGAAGACGTACTTTTGGCTAATTTGCTGTATTTAGAAGCAAGATGGCAGTATTGCTGAAGATCAAGTGCTTAATTACATTGTTGCTTTCTCTAACTGAGCAAAATCAACATTACTGACCCACTAAATGAAGACAGCACTGGAAGTTGCAGAAGTTTACAGAACAGATAAAATCTTTTATTCAGAATTACAGGCCTTAAGTGGAATAATAAATCCAATCCTTGTTTATATCATTTAAAAATAATTCTGCAGCACAGAATACATTTTCAGAATGCACTACATACAAAGTATGTATGATATTACAATGTCTGGAGAGAACTGCTTAATTGGAAGAATTTCTTTCATGGCAATTTAGGGTAATGAGGCTGTTTTACACATGTTGAAGGAGTTCTGTATTCAAATAAAAGGTATAAGAAATACACTGAACAATGAAGAGCCACATTTGAGACTAATTAAGAACCGAACTGCACAGATACATTTTCTGAAGCAAGTTCCAGACAGAAAATAGACCACAAATTGAGAGCTGGAAACAATGAATTGTACAATTACCTTGAGTGATTTTGCCAGTTGTACATGGTTGTCATAGACTAAAACATCCACTGTTAGATTTCGCAGATGATAAAGAAGAACTTTGTCTCCCTCCAGTTCTTTTGCTTCCACAGGAACCTTCCATGTTGGGTAGGGGCATTTTGTGCCATCCCATACCTGCAATCAAAACCAACTATTTCAATACTCAAAATATTAATGCGTAGGAATTCATACATACTGGTGCAACAGCAAATAAGATACCAATGAGTTATGCTCTTCAGGTGAGGTGGAAACAGGGACAAGGAAGGGTGAAGACACCAAAGGTCAATTTTTAAAGGGTTTCTACCCCTTTCTGAATGTTTAACTGCTATGAATCAAAGGACACAAAGGAAAAGATCTAGGAAGCAGCAAAACAATGTACATACGCACGGAGAACAACTCATGGCTGAAATGCTCATGCCAAATCAAGAGATAAAAGGGGAAATTATTTACAGTTAAAATAACCCATAACATCAAATTAATGTTCCCAAATAAGAGTGTAGGGTATTCTGAAGGACTCACATAATAAGCTTGCACATGCCCTCACAGAATGAAACAAACAAACAAAAAAAGGCCTGTTACGAAACATTTAAAAGCACCTTTGATTGAGATGCTGCCCTTTCCTGCAATTAGCCAAGCTTTTCCAGAACTGAGCTAGAGAAATATAGATTTAATGCTATAGGCATACATTATGAAATTAGATGCTTAGTTTCCTACTGTTTTTCAAACTGGCTTTGCTTGAGATACATTGGTAGTTCCACACTTGTAAGATGGATCTTACAAACTGAAATAATGTGAATGTGCCCTGTCAGGTCAAAGCTTACAATGTCCTTTGCAAGAGGAGCTAATGGGGCTGATGTCAGGCCGTATTTTGAAGAATTTCTAAGCCAATAAGCATTCTTTACAAGAAAAGAAAGTTCTTTGGAAAATTATGTGTTTTATGCGATTTTATTTATTTACTATTTTAAACTTGTACAAGTAAGAGCACAGCTACTTTGGGAGCTTATCAGATGCATTCTACTTGTAGATGAAAATACAGGAGCCAAGGCTTTCTATTAATTTTTCTGTATCTGCTAGTGCTACGGTTATGAACAGCTAGCCTCATGCCTTCAATCTTACCAACAATAATCAAACTTTGAATAACAAACAACAAATAGTTTCATTACTAGTCATGAACAAACAGGAATTACGGAATAGTTAGTGATGATATGTGATCACCATGTTGCAAAATGCGGAAAAAGGGGAGGCACCATGAACCCTGCTTTCCTGACTCATTAAGGCCCTCCAACAGAATATACTGATTGTATGACATAACATAGGAAACTGACAGATAGAAGAATAGTTAATAAAACCCTTATGAAATGGAAAAATGACAGCAGCACTTCCAGCGTGAAGACTCCTCTGATTTGAAATTAAATTTTTCAGAAATAATTAACTGCTGCTTCATTTCAATTTAAGCTTACCTTCGTAAGACAAGCAACACAGCTTCATGTCACATCAGCTTAAGGAGCCACGCTCGTACAGAATAATTTATTGAGTGTAATATTAAAGATAATGCTATGGGTGATGCACAGAAATCACCAAAATTCATCATAGTTCTGTTTGAAGCAATTACACTAGTTAACTTGAGCTCAGTGCTTAAAACTGTCATTATACTTCACTGTATTATCAACCATGAAAATAACTGTGTCTTGCAATGACACAGTAAATGTACACCATTATTAAAAAACCCAAGAACAGAAAGTTAATAATATATGATATGTAATCATCAACCAAACTGAACTTGTGCTTTGATTTTTTGTTTAATGAATCAACAAAATAATCAGACCTCTGTCTACAATATTTATAAAAAGGCTTCTCTTACAGCTTTACCAACATTCTATATGTAAGGAAAGAATTTTGGCCTGCTTGCAATTAGCAACAGCACATCTATGTTAATCTATCAGTTTTTAGCTTGTTTGGTTCATTTTAATACAAATTTAAGTACTTAATATTTTAAAGTGCTAAAAAAAAGATACTGACAGAGGATTCAGTATGAGAAAAACTGATCTAGTGCCAGTGGATTTCATTAAGACTTCACTATTCTGACTCCACACAGCTGCACCCTGTGAAGTTCACCTCCTCGTTTTAAGTACTTGACAAAACAGTCTTCAAACTTTACAACTCAGAAAAAAAGGGAAAACAAGTAATATTTACTTAAGAAAGTCCTTGTGCTTCTCCTTGCAAAGGGCCTTTTAATGCTGAACACACATTAATGAATGAGAATTAGGCTAGAAGGTTCTGAAATTTTACTGCATGCCATTTGACAACCATTTCGTAAGAGACAGTTAAACGGAAATATTTGTAACAGTTGCACAATGTGATACAGGGTGACACTCAAGTTTTGCTTCTGTACAGCACATAGAAGAGTATTTCCTGCTTTACTAAGAGAACGATGCAACTTGCTGTTTCTAAAAAGATTGTATCAGTAAGCTTAATACAGAAGTACCATTAAATATTTTTATTTTTCATTTTATAACTTTGTCTTCAAAAAACATCTTCAATGCTTACAGTTTAACAATCAACTTAAAAAACTGAAAATAAATACAGAGCTGTTTCAGAATAACATCAAACTGATGCACAGGGAGGTAAACCAAGAAAAATAAGGAGAGCTAGTTTATATTTAGCTGATGCTAAGGATCACTCCTCAGAAAGTACTTTCCTGTTGTGTGGCATTTATATTCTGTGCTTTCATTAAGCAATGATCCCCCAAAGTGCTCATGTGTAACTAAAGAAGCTACGTAGAGCTCTAGAGAGTACCACGTACTGAATTACTTATATACTGTACATCTAGAAAAATAAGCAATAATTGCTACTGAGTAGAAAACAAGGTTACAATTCAAAACCAAAAATTATTTCTCAACTTTAAGAAATCTTACAATATTTACCTAGAAATGTTTGTAGTACTTACCATCCATACCAATGCCATCTTAAAAAACTTTCAAAATAAATGAATTAGAGAAAAAGAACTGAGATTCCTGTTTTGTCTCCACAGAAACAAAATAGTACAGAATCATACATTTCCTTAATCTCTACATATTAATCCACATAACAATATAAAAAATTACTTAAAGAAAACAAATCTACCTTTAGAAGAAAAGATGATCCATCCACTTTTGCCTTCCCTACCAGCTGACAAGTGAGATCGAAGAACATCATTGGCTTAACATCAGACAATTTTGCTTCTGGTCCAGAGACAGAAAGATTACTGGCTGCCCAAATACGTAATTCTTCTACTGTTTTCTGTTCTTCATCTATGAAGGTATACACTTTGCTAGAAGCTCGAGGAACTACTGGCGCTCCTACAGTTCCATCAAATGTCAAGGATGCAAATCCTGCACTGGTAATTCCTTGCATTTGTCCATTGTATTCCCTGATCTACAAGAAAACATGAAAAAAATGATTGTACTTCACTGAAGTATGCTTACGCTTCTGTTTTATCATATGCATCAATAATGGATCACTACTCATTTTCATTCCTGGTGCCAGCAGAAGAGACGAAATAAGAAGAAAAAAGCAAATTAATGCTAACAAATAAGCAAAGCATGTAAGGAGGAATTTCTAACATCAAAAATTATTTCAAGAAGCAGACTAAGATCAGCATCAGTGCAGACTAATTCACTCACAAGTCTCAAAATCTTTTTAGCATCCAGAAATCTCAAACCTTGATTTTCAAACAGTTGCTTTGACCCATTCTCATAAAACTAAAATTAGCTGACTGAAATCGCATCCAGGTTTCTGAATGTCATTTGTGAGACAGGTTAGCTTAAGATACCTACAGACAAACCAGTACTCTAGCACCAAAAAAAATTATATCTTTGAATTGTTACTAATTTAATAAGTTATTGCTCAGAAATGTGCCAGACAATTGAGCCTGCACCTTCACTTTCTATCGTATCCAGAGACTGATTTTGCTGTTAAAGTCTGAAAGTTGTCACTAATTCTATTCAAATAAAAAATGCACCCTGTTAGAGGAGTAAAACAAATTTTCACTATTTTCTTATATTTTTTAAATAGTTTTCTCACACCCAGTATAGTCATGACAGTCTAAACAAGTTTGGATAATATTGTATGTAGATTACATTTCCTTGTATTTTAATACTGTACTCCTAGTATACACATGGCTTCAGCTGCAAAGAACTAAAGAAGCAATTTAAAGTAAGACAATAAATAATCTGTGTGCTCGTATGAATTAAGCTATTTTCAACATGTTTAAATATAACAAGAAGAAACTGAGTTAAAATCTGCAGACATCTTTCTACGAAAAGTTAAGAAGTCACATGGAAGCAGAATATTTTTTAATGAAAATATAAAAATACAGAGATATCAAGACCATTGATTATAACTTATCTTCTATTATTTCTGTGAACTACTGTGCTCAAAATATCAGTTGAAATTTCTGTAGTAATTAAACACAAATTAAAGGAAACAATCAACAATACATTGCATATTTCTTTTACCAGTTCAGAAAACATGATGTCCACAAGAACTGCATTTACAAAGAATACATACCTAAACCAGATTAATTAACTTCTGCTTTGGTTATCATTTGAAAACCAGCAGGTATTATGATACTATTTTAGAAATATTCTACAGAGAAAGTGGCCCAGTATATTTGAGAAAATTTGGATAAAGCAATAAATAACTATATTTTGGAAAAAGCCTCAGGTATTTAAGACAGGATTGGTGACTTGATCCAATACAACTCAGAACAAAAATTTCAGAAAATGTGTGAAATTCTAAGAACTTCTAATTTTGGAAGAAGACTATAATTGCCTAGAGTTAATACATCTTGACATTATGCATTATAGGACATAAACTTGCCTTCCTCTGCTTTACAACTTGACAACTATGGTCAGAGCTGACTAGAAATGAAGACTGAGCATATAATTCTGCACTGGTCTCTCAGTACTTTCCATAGTGCACCAGGTAGCAAGAGAAGGAACCAATGTTAATGGGACAATCTTGACTAAACTGAAAGAGAGAATACACTGAGACAAGAAAATCACTACACAAGTGCAAAGGTGAGTGCTCCTGGAAATAATGGCAAACTGGTTTAGACCAGGGTTAGTAATATAATGGAACAAATGTTGCCTTAAGTATTACAGAGTTTAAAGAAAGTGATGCTCAAGAACAGAGGCAGAACTAGCAGGGATATTAGAAAGGATGTGTGATTGACTCTGCTGTATTTATGAAGGCAAGCTTCTTATGTCTGATTATCAGATTGCTAAGTATCGCTTCATTCTTGACAAGCAAACAGCCTTGAAACTCACTAGCAGAACATATCTTACTCTACTGAACTGACTGACCTACACAGATGGTATAGTCACATGTATCATGGCTATAAAGTGCTTTTGCTCAAAGGAGCACTGTGTTTATGTTGTGAATCTGAACAGCTGAATATGCACTCGATAGAGAGGGGTTTTTTTAATTGCTGTTTTCCTCCATCTAACTTTGAAGTTAGAACATTAAAACTGTAAACCATACACATTCCAAAGTACTGGAATGACACAGTTGTTGTCTATTTAAGCACAGTTCAGCTCATGATGTAATCATTTTATGATACCCATTCCACTACTCATATTTCTACAGAACATCTTCCTATGCAGTGCATGACTGATAAGTCAGTGGTAACAAACAAGTGACGTGCAATGAAGAAGCTGTCATCTTTAAGACTCCAATTTCATTTGTTGCACTAACTTCAACCTAGGTACAGAAGTCAAAGCATGAAAAGATAATAGTAGCAATATAATGAAATAGGTCAGCGAGTTAAGATTTTTCATCTTTTTAATCACAATTATTACAGGTTCTGTTATGCTGGGAAAGTCAAGCAAGTAGAGTTTACAATGAGAGGTCATCTCATTATGTTAATCAATATTCACATTTCAAGAACTCAACTTGAGTTACAATTACACAGGGTCTGAGTAGTAGAAGTATACACTCACGACTGTATTAGATATCAAAGAATACAGTGTTTTGAAAATGCAAAGTGCTCAATAATGTTATACATCCTGGAAAAAAAGTCAACAAAAAATGTCCAGTGACTAATAAATGACTGAAAGAGAACAAGCTGAACAAGATGTGTATTCAAAAGTGTATTCTGGTTTATTTCAATCTCATTGCTCTCCAATCCCCAAACACTGAAATAGAAATAAAACAGCAATTCACTTCACCAAGAGCATGGAAATAAATTCTTGTTCAAGAATCATTCGGAGATAATAAGGAATACGAAAGAAAGGTCGATGAGGAAATGAACAATTCTATCATCGTGGCAGGGTTTGTCTAATGCTAAGAATGCTGAACACAAGCCAAAACTCAAAGTCAAGTGAGGATAAAATCAGACAGATTTAGCCAGTAGCAGCTGGATGACCATTCCCTCCATTTAGCAGCTCAAGTAGTAAGCATTAAGTCTAATTTATTAAGAGCATCCACATAGAAGAAGAAAAAAACGAAAGAAACTTGAAATACTTCCTTCTTTGCCAAAAAATAAAGGGGAACTAGAAAGACTGCAGGCCTAGCTTTTATGGTAAGAGGCAAAAAAGATCCCCACACTGTCAGAACTGACTATGGTTGAAGGCCCAAATATGGGACTGTAATTCACTAAGCATTGTAATTCATGAAGCATCATCATTAGACATCATAAAAATGTATTTCAAGAAATATTAACAGAAATGTAATTTAAACTGGACTATCACTCAACCCAACTAACACGACATTTAAAATATTAATTCTCTTAAATAAATACTGAGCAAATAAAACTATTCTCAATCCAGAGTAACACCAACAGAACCTCCTCCAGGACTTTGCTAACACCTCTGCTACTGTGAAGTAGCCCAGAGCAGCCATTTTTAAAATGCTTTTGCTATCAACATCAATTCCCTGGAAGTCTCTCAAAGCATTTCTGGAACATAGAAATGTGAATAAACACTGTAAAGAATATGTATATCTGTTCTCCCTGGTAAACATAGTTGTGACAGGCTAGAACCTCTGCTTTCCATTTGGTAAGCTATGAGAGGGTGAAAAGGCTGGAAAGCAAAATGTGAAGACAGTGAATGAGGAATTGCAGACATACTCAGAACTCTAATTAGTGTTTGTTGTTTTGTTCATGTTTTTATTGAGAACTGTGTTACACAGCGATCATAAATCCTGAACTGGCTATAGTTGAAAGGAAAGAAGAGGTCACCCTACTCCCACATCTCCAAACAGCTGTCAACAGGCTCCTACACCAGCTTTTTACCTGCTCAGAATGGAGAACAAAACTTGCAAAGTTACAGTTATCTCAAGATAGTCAAAACATGCCTGTCCAGAAAAATATAACTATTTAAACTAACTGTAGATCATTTTAAATTAGTAAGTAATTAGACATGCTGTTAAGCTTATGATCTGAGGGGATATGGATTGTGGGCAGCTGGAAGTGTTGGGGCTGGAAACCACCTAAACGAGCTCAGCAGTGACGAAAAAAGCTGTGCGTGGGGAACGTTAACAGTTTGGAACATTACTGAAATACTGACACAATCCTGAAGAACGATTAATCAGTTGAGAAGTATTTCAGCTCAACACCCAAAAAGCTGTTTCCAAATCAGGTGAATAAGGTTTTCTTGTTTTTGCTTTATCAGTAGTTGAGCTGAAACACTGTTAGATTTGCGTAACAGAGATGCATACATAACACCTCCATGAAAGTGGACTTCTTAGCCTGTACTTCACATCTCAAAAATAATCCATTATTTACCTACTGCCCATGCAATTTTTCAGTTCTTTTAAGCGTTACTCTCTCCTTTTTTTTGTGCACACACACACACACACACATATATATATATACACACATATAAAACAGTTTTACTTCAGACACAAGAAACATATTTTTACCTCCACTGAATTTCAGAAACTAGTATGTTTGTAATGCTTATCCTACAGGATTCAGAGAGAATTTGAAATTAAGCATTAGATTTTCCTCCCTGAAAAATCTATGAACTTCCAAGACTGACCACACATATGGTACTGATAAGCAACACAAGCATCAAAACCTCATTACAGCTTAATTCTACTTGAATTATACACAAAGAAGCCTTTAAAGAAGCTTTATACTAAGCAGGAACAGGTTAGCTAGCTTCTGTCTCTAGGTATTTAGAATATGCACGAACAAATGAGTCTCAAAACAGAAGATGTCATTCAGGAGTTGACATAATCATCTATAGAACACTGGATTTTTTGGTTGTTGCTGTTCTAAGAATTTGATGGCTTTGTTTTGGCTCACACCTAAACCACACTCTATTTTATCAACTGACTGTTTTATCCTCTACCTTCAAACTTGAATTTCAAGATACGAACAACTATATTCTTCCTACAGTTCTTTCACTGCAAAAAAACAAAAACAAAAACAACCAACCAACCAACAACCACAACACATTAAAAACAGAACAAAATACCCAATACCTACCTTTACTCTATGAAACCTAACAATATCTCCATTTTTGTAAATTTTTGGTAGAGAATCTAGATTTCCATTGAAAAGAGTGCATGTTAACTTCACGTTCGATTGGTCCACCAGTGTTACGACTGAGCAATAATCTGTAAAATATGAAAGTGTTTGAATGAATAATAGACATTACATAAGCTACTGGTATACAGACGTTATAGATGGAGTGAACAATGATACGGACAAATCTTTTCTGCAGTCATCTCTGCAATTCTCCCAAAGTTAAAGCAGCAGAACAACTTGCAAATGGCCAACCATGCAAATAATTAACACAGGTAACTGAAAACAAAATGTGTGGTGAAGCACAGGTCTGTGAGCCAGGAACACACAAAACATTTTCTCCAGTACTTGACAGGTGTGCTATTTTTTTAAACTTCCAATGATTTTCTTTATAGTATGAGGATGTGTATGTCCACTATCCAATTCTTTTCGAAGACTTGTTTTCACTATTTTCTGAAGATGCAGTGAGTTCAACAAGCTCTAAAAGCAAATTATAAAAGTTATCTAGCATTAATTGCGCCCCAAATATGCAAACAAGGTATTTTCTGCAAGGACACAGTCACAAGGTAATTAATAGAAAGTATAGTAAGAACGTGGAACCTGCCCTTTTAAGGGTAAACATTCATAACAGAATTTTATTTTTATTTATGACCCACAAAATCAAATTCAAAGCAAAACAAACAGGACAGAACAAAACAACCCAGTACAGGACAGTATTTACAGACAACATAAAACAAAACTCTATTTGCCATTTCACACTAAAGAAGAACATCTATTCTTCTGTGCCATATATGAAGTCACTGAGCATGCAGTTGCTCTTTCTTGGTATGGTAGCTGGTTAACTTTCCTCATAACTTTTCAAACACCCAGTATTAACTCAGCTGTATGTTCAGAACCTCAAACATTTGCAAATCTTATCCTAATTAGTTTTAATTAATAAGATGGAGTACTTTTCCTTTGGTTATTTATTATGCTGGCTTTTACTGAAACTTACACTTCAGAGCTAAATAACAACTTTGTAAGCAGATAAAAATTGTAGAATGTTGTATCCTAACTTATTATTTTTAACTATACATTAAGGTACACAGTATTTTGGCTTTAATAAAGCTAGTAAAGATCCTCCAGCAAGAAGTACACTTTTTAGGCATTAAATTAACAGTAATAAATAGTTTATAGTTTAAAACTTCTGAAGTTGGAACTCCAAAGTTTGAACTGAAAGGAGATTGGAGACTACAAAGAGAGAGAACTAGAGTGAAGATGAGCTTGGGAAAACAAATCTTCCCTAAGAGTTTAAATGTCTGTCTTCTCTGTTTCTCAATATCTGAAGCAGTAATTAAACATTTATGTAAACTGCTAATGAATTAAATTTCCCCATCTCTCTCTCCCTCAAAAAAAAAAAAAAAAATATGAAAACTGAACAAAGATGCTGTAAGCATTAAAACAAAGCAGATAAAATTCCCATTACTTTTAATAAAGATACAAACATAAATAAATTGTTCTAGGCAGCTTTGAAAAAGAGAAAACTATCAGTCTACTGAAACTAACAGATTAGTATAATGCAAAAAACTACAGGAATGCAATCAAAAGTGGATGATCGTCATGAGTAAATTCACAGTGAAAAATTCCCCAAACTTGAAGACAACAGATACGTTACACTGAATTAGAATGCATGCTTGTTTGTGTACTTACTGTGCTTTCAAAAGAAATACTCCACTGTATCCAGCAAATACATCCCTAAATTTTACTACCATGTAAACTTAAAAGTTCAAATTCTCTATTGATCGGAATGATTGTTCAAAGAACAAAAATCACTGAAGGCTTACTAAGATGAAAAACAAAACTAATTTTCCTCCAGAAACAAAAATTGATGTACTTCCATAAAATGGATGCTTCTCTTCCTCTCAAATATTTTCTCACACTGATAAATTCTGATCTGTTGCACGTAGAGGTTGCTAAGCATCATTCTTTTGCACACTCCCACAAAAGACACAAGGTCAATACTATGTATCATCTAATCCAATATTCTGTGCTAGGATAAGCAGATATGAATAAAGTATAGCCAGTGGCTGATATGAAACTGAAAGTATTTACTACTGTAATCCAAATACTGATTGTTTTATTTCTCTGGGTTAAGTTGAACAGGTCAGATGCACAGAGACAAGGGCAAAATCAGCTATAAAGAAGAAAAATTTATGGTTCACTGATTTACAATTCTGTACAGATACACGATAGCACATTACAGTGCATTGATATAATTCAACCATGAATCCAAAGTGAAATATCAAGCCCACAGCACACTAAAATTGTTGCTACTGTTTGAAGCTGTGATTATACACCCCAGTCAGTTTCATACACCTGCAGCTGCCTATTTAAGAGGGGGGGGGAGGTGAACACATTTCCTCCATTTTCTTTGCAACTAGCACACCCTGAAGATCAGTATCCTTCTTACTCTAAATAGTATAAAATACTGCACTTTAAACAATCAGAAAAGACCTTCTACATAATATAGGTTCTCTGTTTTTGTGACTGTAGTCTTTCATTCTCAAGAAAGACTTCAAAACATCAATTCTACAATAAATCTAACTAATTTTCTTCAAGAACAAAGCATAAGGACTGATTTTCTTTTAAAGAAATCCTGAACCAGAAAGTCCTTTTTGAAGGTGAACAAAGAAAAAGCCATCTGTCCCTCCTTTTCCATACGGAATGTGAAAATTACTTTCTGCTTTCCAAAGGAGTATGAGAGTTCAGTGATTGAATTTACTTCTCTGTACAAATGGTAAGTTAAACTCTAGATAGAACTGATGAATTTAAATAATAAGATAGTGTCCTAGTGTAGATGAAACAACATCATAAATGTAATTGCTCAAACTTCTGATTTTTTATTTTACAACATACTTCCCAATAAAGAAAAACTCAGTTACCAAACTACCAAAAAGTAAGTTTACATACTGGGGACAATTTTCTTCTCTTATAGGAAGTTTCACCACTGGTAATTTACTTATAACACTTCGCTTTAAAAATGCGACACCTAAGTGAAGTGAAGAGTGTGAAGCGCATGAATGCCTTCTCCAGCCACAGATTCACAAATCCCTCAAGCAGAGGCACAGCCCCTCCATCTGTACTGCACCCCTTCTTGGATCTCAGGCTCACCTTGCAGCTTTTGTACACAAAGGAGTGGGAGTGTGAATATGCTGAGAATTCAAAGATTTAAGAAAAATAAGAGGATAAGACAAACTGCAGCCTTCAGCTGCAAGGCTCAGCCAGACAGGTATACTGACCAGCCCTGTTTTACATGCGGCCCTTTTGCACTCTTTTTTACCTATCTCCTCCACATTCCTCCTGCTCCCACTTCCCCTTGCATGCACACTTGCGTTTACAGAGTTCTGCAGTTTCTGCATCCTCCCAGTCCAGGATCCCCATTTCACAACATGATCAGCTACAAGTGATGTTAGAAGCAGTGCCTGTAGCTCCATAGTCTGCCAGTCAGTGACTGAAGTTTGTTTCTTGAGATTGTCTCCCAGCCAAGATGACCTCCATCAGATAACCCTGCTGGCATAAAAAAATCTCACATTCTCATCGGCTCTCACAAATTAGTGTGGCTAACCACACTTGGTTCACTGCCTCCCTGCCTTATTGTACTTACTGTCTCACAAAAGGGCCATGGACCAGATACCTTTCAAAAAGCAGGCAAAATAAATCTAAAGCTCAGCACATTTATATACTACAAAAGATTGCTTTAACCTTTTAAAATGCTTTAACTTGTTTGATGTCCCCATATTTGGAGATACTCAAAAACTATCCAGACATGGTCCTGGGCAAGCAGCTTTAGGTGGCCCTGTGTGTTGGATTAGATGACCTTTGGAGATCTCTTCTCACCACAGCTGTTTTGTGATGGCTGAAGATTTCTATTAAGCATTAAAGGGAATGCTGAATTTAGTTAATTTCTTCAATGTGATGAACTGCTAATTGGCTTGGAGTTTTATTACACACACACCAAAAAATCTCGTGTTTCTAGAGTTGACTGACGTCCTTAATGAAAAAAAAACCACAGATGCATAAAATCTAAGCTGTTAAAAAATTTACTGATTGATACTTGCATACTGTATCACATCCAGATCAAGAACATTTTAAATAGCAAAGGTTTTAAACTGTTTTGAAAGTAAATCCAAAATATTGATAACTGTTTACCGGCTGAATTTCCCTAACAAAATGAATAATGAAATCATTCTTAACAGCACAAATGAATTTAAAGTTTCAACAGTTTAGGATCTGCAGGCCAAAACCATTTTTTTTTAATGAACAAAACGATTATGGAATGAGTCTCCTAGCTATTAAAAAGTACAACTGAATTTTTAAGAAAGTCTGAAATAAAAGCCAGCCACCTGAAATTGTCCTGATGCGTAAAATAGTAAGAACTATATAAGCTTACTGTTTCACAGATCTGTAGTCTTGCAAAATCAAAGTTAAAAGTGAACAGAGAAGGAAAGAGAGGGAACAATCATTACAGCAGCATGAACAGTGCTGCAATTCGAGTTCTTGCTTTCAGTCATAACTATTATATTCTACAATATCTGCTTCCAGTAAAAGACAAGGACTTCAGAGTTGCATTGTGCCTGCAAACACCCAGAGCAAAATTTAAATTCTGGACTTCTAAATAAGCAAGTTCTGTACTGTTCAGTTCAGAGAAGTTATCAGCTGGTCAGCTGAAGCAACACCTTAGCTCAAGCAGTATAAAAACTGGCATAGTACAGTCATCTGAATGGTAGAAAATTATCAAGTTTCAATACTATACTGACTCAGCAAAAGGATTGGTCTTACAATAGCAGCACTCCAAACTGCATCTTTTCTCTTTTTTTCTCTTTTCTTTTTCAATATACTTATTGAAAGTACTTATTAGGAGGTTAACAGCATGTGATGGACAACCAGGAATGGACAGTTAACCTACAAGGACACTTGTAACACCTCAGGATTGGCACTTCTTAAAATAACTAGGAGAGAGAAGCCACTTAAATGGGAAGCACAGAGTGAATTGTCTGCCTTACATGCTCCCCATATTCTTTTAGACTAACTCCTTAAGGCTCTTTCAAAACAATTACCAAATTAATAGTTAAAGTAATTTAACAAGATGAAGTCTTTCATTTCACCTTGTTAAATAAAACAAAGAGAACAAAACACAATCATGTAGTGAAACAGCGCTTATAAAAAAAGTTTAGTAAACAAAAGGAATTCATTATTATTACAAGGACTATCTGAAAATCAGTGAAATTCCAAGTCAACATCAATAGAAAGTTACACTAACAATATGGAGGGTGCTAACCTTCAAGCTTCTGAGCTCTAAATTAAAATAGCATAAAACATGAATGTGTTGTCTGTGTAATTTTAACGGTCACTGAAAAGCCAAAGTTTCCTCAACTGCTATGGCAACTCAAGCTTGCTCTCTACATTACAGCTTTTGTTTTATAAAATGCATTAGCATTTGTACTCCTCTTTGGACTATTACAGTAGTCATTAGCATGCTCAGAAAGACAGCACTCTGCACAGAGTAGCAATACCAGAAAAAAAAAAAAAGCAGTTTCACTTACAGTCATAAAAAAAAAAAAAGAACTGCAGCAAAAGCTCTGTAAATGTAAAAAGGCAATTCAGTACTTATTGATTAAATGCATTTATTTTGGTTTTATTTAGGACTTCAGCAGTCCGTAACAAATATGCTTGTAAAATCAATTTTAAAGGTAGGAAGCGTTGATTAAATTATGAATCCCCTCTTGGTCAACTGCATATATATTCACAAACTTCTAAGTTTACAAAATCGACTATCCTGGATCAATAACTTCTTCCCACAAAAATGATAAAAAGGCTGCTGCTAAGGAAAGACTTCAAAGATTACCTTCTGCTTCTTATATTGCAATACTAAAAAAAGATTTTTCTGTAGCAAGCTATTCTCTCTTCAAAAATACACTAATCATGAATAAAGTTTTCCAGTGTTACTGAGAACAGTCTAAAACTGAACAGCTGAACCAGCTAAGTTACTAAATATGTGCAACAAAATAGGGAAAACAAAACAACATGAGAACATACATATATTATGCACTTATGTATTTCCAATATACACACAGAAACACACTGATACTGCTGAAGTCCAAACTAAATCATCCAATGAAAGATGCTTTAATGCAGCTTATTCGTAACGTGGCGCTGCACTTAAGAGGTACTCACACTTTCAGTAACAATGAGATGCATCTGGCTAAACGGATGCTTTAATTATAAAATGACAAGACTAAATTGGGTACCACGTGCTTTCAGTGGGAACAGGAAGTAAAGCTTCAGCTTTAAGCTCTAATACACATAAGGAGAAACGTATCTAGGGGAATATCCATATAGTGAATAAAGATCCAGATGGATGAAGCAAGAGTGGCTCTACCACCCACACTTCCAGCAGGGACAAGCTTAAAGCTGTATGATTCCATTAACACTGTGTCAGAAATAGAAGGTATTAGTGCAGGACTGTGACAGACCTAATGTGACTACAGAATTTTCTGACAAGAGCTATTTCATGCCTTGGCAACTCAGAGCAATCATCAAAGCATTCTATACCTTCTCAAGCAGATAGAGCCCTGGATCATGCAAAAATTGAAATATTTAACAGAACATTTTTACACAAAAACCAAAATCAATTAAAAGTGTTTTAGAGATTTTCATGATGAAGTATGAAATGAATCACAACTGCAACAGTAAGAAAACTCACAGTGAGAAAAGCAGTTTACAAAACTCTACAGAAGAATCTTCAAGAATGAAGTCACCCATTTCCAGATGCATCAAGTTTGTAAAATCTTAGGAGGATTTGAAATTATCCATGAATAACATGAAAATTTAATGATTTTAAAAAACAACCTCTTAATATAATCTACTTTTCCCTCATATTAGTTAACTACCTTTAAAAAGAGTAAAAAACTCTGTATGTAAACACAACAAATATTTGAAAAAAAATGTTAAGACCTGTGCTGAAGTGTGATCTTCGAACTGCAGTATTATGGTTCACTGAAGGTGATGAAAACAAACAAGTGGGCATAATAAACATTTTTGTTCTGTTTTTTGGGGGAGTTTCTTGAGTGAAAGCACGGAACACAACACTTAGATGTTCTATTACTATGCCATGAGAAGCACTTACAAAATACGCTGACAGACTTAAATGTAACCAGATTTTTTCTATATGCAATATACTTCATTCATATACTGGAGTTATTTCATCTCTCAGCCCTTGTTTCTTTTTAAAAATGACATTAAATTACTCAAATTATTTTTTCCTTTACTCTCTCCTTAACCTTTTTTTTTTTTTTTTTAAATCTTTAAGCAGTATATTAGAGCATAATTAATGTTAAAATGCTGCCTTAGGTTTCAATTAGTTTTTTTCTTCTCCCTCCCTCTCCTCCTTCTTTAAAATAAAGTTACAGAAAGAGCATGAGTACACAAAAAATCACATTTGTCAAAAAAATAAATGTATATATATACATATACATACATATATATATAGATATATATGTTCATATATAGATACATATACACACACACACAAAATAGAAAAGAAGTACTTTCAAGCTGAACAAGAAACAAGAACATTTACTTTTTTAATGGGCTGGTATAGAGTACCTTCCACGTCAGTACTTTGAAAACACCCATACTTTTCAATTAGTCTAATGGAACATGCAATTCCACAGTGGAACTTCAGTGTTGTCACTGAATGTCACATCATGAAGTAAATCTTCAGTGGAACAAACTGCCACACGCCTTCCATTGATAACTGAACTAAGTTTTCCTCTTGTCAAAACGTGCAAGGTATTTGCTCTGTTCCATAAAAATAAGACTGACAGCCTTCTTGTATTTCTCCCACCTACCAGCAGCTAATGGAGTTTCTGCTATTGCATGGTGGAATGCTTCAGTTGCCAGTTGTCTTGAACTACTAATGGAGCAAGTCTTGAAAGGTCCACAGGTTGCTTTGATGTGAAGGCTACTTGCAGACTATAACATGAACCAGCACCTCCTGGCAAGCTGGCACATACTGCTCCTGGACAAATGACTTCCCCCAGCACCACACACACTTTCCATTTATTGGTGCACACAGACTTGTAGCTATGAAACCTAAAAGAATCTTGCAAGTGTGTTCTCCCCACAATAATTTGTCTCAAACTGAAGACCAAGTATGCATATACAATAAATCGTATAACGTGATATTCTTCGCGTGGGAAGGCAGTAGCTTGAATTTATCACTTGAATTTATTATCTTTCATCTGCCTTAGAGAGCTATACTTGCAAAGAATAGCATAAGGTAATGTCTTACAAAGTCAATTTTAAACAATTTTTCAGCTCTGCATGTTTTTAAACAAATTGATAGAGCTTGTTTTACAGAGGCACTGATTTACAATTATTTTGTCTGTCAATCACTAAGAGGTACTAGAAACCAAGGCTGGCCTTTCTGTTGGTTTGGTGAGGTTTTAACAATTATTTCAACAACTAATTTATAAAAATAATTAGAATGCTTAAGAGAAGAGGGAAGGTAACGTGCCACTGCCAGCACTGTAAAGAAAACATTTTTCACAATCAGAAAAAATTAAGATGTATATAGCTGAATTTAATCAGTCTTTGGGCAGGGGGTTCTGTAACAGCAGGCCGCATTCATCGACCATGCAGAAAATGAGAACTGCCTACAGATCAGTAAATCTAAAAAAGTAATTACTAAATTAAAATGAATACTAAGATGTCTAGACATAGTGCAGATTAAACAGATATTCCTGGTTGTTTTTCTAGATATGTAAAAAAGTTCCACAGGTTTGCATTACAAAACCATCATACTGCCACCCAAAATTGACAGATTACTCTCCAAATGCCTTCCTCCTTTCTCTAATATGCCCCCATATAAGATGTGCTGAAAAAGAAAAGAGTAACTGGAAGATTTTGTTTTTCCTCACAGGCAATGCAAGGGAAGACTGTAGAAATGATCAAATAGCAAAATGTTAAACTGTTTATTTCTTACTATCCAAATCGAAAATTGACTTTCATCTGAAACATTTGCAGTGTATAATTTCCTTTAATAAGTTTTGTGTATAAATGAGTATATAAAAATACATAATCATTTTTATTTATTTTCAAGAGGATAAAAATACATGCACTGTATTTGCTACAAAACAGATGGACCATCACTTGTCCCATTCCTACATGAACATCTATTTTTAAATTCTAATGCTTGAAATTCAGTTACCTACGTTCTTCAGATTCGCTTTTTGTTTCACAATTGAGAAATAACACTGCCTCACCAACATTTCTTAAGAGTGCAGGGAATAGTTTTCTAGGAGCAAATTCTGTCATCTGCCTGATATTTACTTCACTTGCTATCTGCACCAGTCTGCCTACACTGGCTCAGATATCCATTACTTATTCTATTCTCCTGATGTTATCTGAGAACCACTGCCAAAGGATCACCAGACTTCTGTGATCAATTGTAACAGAAATAACTATGAATTTAGTTCTGTGAAAAGAGATGCTAAATTTTTTTGAAAGTAGTACATACCTGTTCCTTTGCTTATATAAGGAGGCTTGAAGAATTTCACAATGCCGTACAAATTCACTACAGTCCCATCTTTCAAGCAGTTCAAAGGAGTATACACGTATTTTGGTGCAACAGACTAGAAAGGCATGGTAAAATTAGGGGACAGAAGAAAAAAAATTTTGCAAATGTTCATCTAGAATTCTGTGCTTTTAACACCATTCAGACTCAGATATGTTTTTAATTTGTCTTAATAACTAAAAGCTACCTATTCTTTTCCTAGCTTATTCACTTAAGATTTTCTAAATGCTATTCAGAATTTTATTCATTCATTCACATACAAAAAAAGCAAACCTCATTCCATTTCTTCTGTGAAACATTTCTTACAACCAACTAGTCAGCCAGTAGGTGCAAGTGAGACACAAAAGTGAAGACAGAAGAATAAGAAGATGAAAGTCATCATAATGATGTTTTTTGTTTGTTTGTCTGTTTTTTACAGGCTGGTATTAACACATCCATCCAAATGGCTTTTTAAAGCCACAAATTATTTTTAAATTAATACTGGCAGCACTGCTGCACAGAATAACCACTTTGGGCATCTTACTTCTCACAGTTATATGTAAGTATATACTGTAATAGCACACCTGTAGAGGATTAAAAGAAATCAAGGACTAATTTCTACTATCTAAGGACAACTATCTTCTCAAGATTACAGAACATGAATCTCTTAACACGAGTTCTCCCAAACTGACTGAAAACTGCATTTTACTGATTGAATTGTGGAAAAAATAAAACTCTCTGGTAATTAATACAAAGTCAAGCTGCGTTATCTTCAGTACTAAATCTTTAACCTGATGATAAAGAACAATTAAATATCATCTATCAAATTTTAGGCCTTTAATGTACTACTTCCTGTAGAATTGTAATTTAGATAGGTAAAGGCTTTTTCCTAGCAGAAACCTAAAGAAATATTAAAACACAAAGTCTGATTTTAATCAAAGGAAGATTAACCTTTTTTTAAAAAAAAAAAAACCAACCTCCTTTGGTATGGAAGGTACTTTATTTATTCATATTTCCTAAGCCAATGTGTAGCTTATTTTGAGAACCAGACAGAAACTGTGGCAGAAATACTACTTTCTCATATTTCATCCTCTTTTCAAGGCATGCCATTTGTAGAAATAAAAGCTAAACAATGACTGCCGGAATAGGACCATGGATGTAAAACAGGAAAGAAAAAGAATTCTACATATTCTTATTTACATGCAGTTCACCTCATATTAAAAATATCCTGAATTTTTAAAAAATTCCCCACTTAAAAAATATCCTAAATATAAACTCACTGCAGATGTAGTTTCTGAAAAAGGAGTTATGCTTGGTTGTGTACAAATCTGAGGAGAAAAAAAAACAAACACAAACTTAAGTGATTACAAAAATGAAGGCAGCACAAATATTGTAACATTTCATACAGCTGCAGCAATAAACACCTCTGCTACTGGAATCACTTCTGACACCTCTGAATCTAATAAACTTTATTCTACACAATAAACAATATCTGTTCTGATTACACTCAGACAAAAGCAACTTTAAACAACAGTTTCTGAAGCAGAAACTCCTCTCCCACCCTTTACCTTATATGCATTATTCTCTTCCATTATGTGCAAGAGCAGTTCAGAAAGTTCTAAGGAGCTATCTCAAACTAACTAATGTCAAATTCCTGCACTCAGCAGGTAGAAATTTACCTTGAAGATCAAGATAATTTGGATCTGGCAACACTTTGCATCACTTCTATATCGTGTACTTTGACACAGACACTGTACTCTCGTTTGTCATCTACTACAAAATGTTATTCACTGCCATGGACTGTTCTGCACAGAGTATTACCATGAAGGATTTTCAAGCACACAATCCCCATCCAGACCTTACAGAGTCTTGGGCAGAAAGGATAACACCCATTCTCATCCATCAGAGATAAATACAAATGTTTCATCCACATACACTACTTTGACAAAATGGATGGAAGAATGCATTACATAATTGTAGGCACACACACAAATTTGTCCAGATCATTTCCTCATGGTCATGCTGTAATAATCTGCAGCACTTCAAATTCTAATAGATTTTTTGTCTATTGTAAAGCATAATTTTAATAATGGTATTTGGAAAAAAGAGGTTAAAGAAAAATCTAAGCACCCACTTACATAAATGGCTGATCCAGCTTCTTCAGACACCTGCAGGTGACAAGCATGTCTACCATCTTCTCTTGCTGTAGGAGATTCTGTCACCTTAAATCCAGAAACCACAAAGGTGTCCTACGGAGACAGGTGATAAACAGATGAGTGCTGTGCATGACATTATGTTTAAAAGAGGATTTAATGTCAAATTTCACTCTCAAGTCTGAAGACATTCAGTTAAAAAAAGAATTCCAAACATTGCCTTTAATTTCCTTTACGTAGCAATTTTACTCTAATTCTAATTCAAAGAGAATCATTACTCTTCAAATATACTGAACATTGACTCTTTCCTGCATAAAATTAACTAAGCCAAAAAAAGCAGTCACACAACCAATTAATACTGAGAAAGCATTCCTTCTTAGTGATTGTTTGTTAGTGTATTACAGCCTCACTTCAAAGACAGTCTTCTCGTAGATACTTTCAATTTAGTTGGATCAATATCCTCCAATTTATTCCTCAGGGGTCCAACAGTTAAGTAAATGACTAAATTTTGGGTAGCAAAACAGATGCTACAAACTTCTGTGATGTCCCTCTTAATCTTCTGGCACAAGAGGCAAATCCATTTGCTGCTGCATGCTCACTTTTGGTACAAAATTCCTCACACATCACAAAGCAAAGAAGAAAAAGAATTACTTAAGCAGAAAAAGATCTAAGTTCCTGCAGAAGATCACCTTTTAGTAGCAACCTTACAAAAAAAAAAAAAATAAAATAAAAGAGAGAAGACAGATGAAGGAAAACACATTTAGGAGATAGACATGTTAAGAAATGTATTTCTGACCAAAAGAAATACAATGCTAGGAACTACGATACAAAACAAAGCTCCTTTAGAGTCAAATGCTTTCTTGTCAGAACAATACAGCAAACTTGTTCCAACATACCTGCTCTTGCAAAACCTTCCACACATATACAAACACACCTGAGAACTACCATACTAGACTTGGTGTCCTTTTAATCCAAGCTTCTACCAAAAGCACTTTCTGAAGTTTTTTATGAATTATTTTTGTTCATGTTTTTATTTGATTACAACATGTATATATATATTATATACACTGCAACATATACATGATTAAAGCTGACAGTCTGTTTAATATTGTTGTATGACAGTAGTTCCTTTAGCTATGTCAGCAATCTGATAATGCTGCCCTCAATAATAAAGGGCCCCATTTTTTTTTTTAAAAAAAAAAAAAGAAGGCTGTTACCTTAGGTTTTATCAGTATAATCATTAAAGTAAAAAAAAAAAAAAAAAAAAAAAAAAAAAAAACACCCTGCAAAAAAGATTGCTTGATCAGACAGTTTGATACACAAAACTAGTACTATTGTTATTTCCAACTAGTGCCATATATAGGAATAAAATGTGTATTTTGACTACAAGATAGGTGACTGCAAGTCACCTAAGTGTAAGATGTACTCAGAACTAAATAGATTAAAACAGGTGAAAACAATTACATGGATTAATATTCTCTGCACATAAAACACACAATCCAGCTAATGTACATTAAAGTTGTTTCATTCTTTTCATATACAGACAGAAGCAATATACAGAAACACACACTTCAAGAAAATTAAGGGTTTTTTGTTTTGTGGGGTTTTTTTTGCAGAAAACAAGTTCAGAACATCTTTCCTTTCTCTGTTGCTGATGCTCTTTCATGGTGTTCTTTCAACAGCGCAATTAACCTTCATGCATTATTCCTGTTTCAGCATTTTGTTAGATTACAGGAGGCATAAGGCTCTGGGACTTGGCTGCTGAGTCAGGATTGGAGCTCTGTAGAGCTGACTTGACTTGTTCTCCTTTGTCAGGAGGAACTTTAGTATTACATAGACTCAAGTGTGTACACAGGTTGATAATAAATTGAGGATTTTTCTTGTGAACAATAATAGATCATTGGTGGTTACTACCACTTGAAGGGCTGCTAAGAGTTGTTGTTTCCTATAGCACTCTCTGGGACCCATCTTTCTATCCTCTCATTGCTGCTCAGGGCCTTTTACGTGTGTTTTAATCAGGACAATAAAAATAGTCAGTTCCTCATATTTAAAAATTCTGCATCCTGTATATTTAGCAAATTAATTCAAAGACCTCCCAACCAGGAACTACTGCCAAAATTCTTGGAATGCAGGAATCTGTATAAAGACTGACAGTTATTGTCTCACATACAAATCTAAGATTTGCAAAAGATTTTTCTGTCCCAAACTGACTGCTGATCTTCAAGGTATGTTTCTTCTGCACGTGTAGGGGAACTGTTAGGTCAGAGCCTTAACTGGTCATTAAGCACCTGGTGAAGGAGTGTGGCTGGCCCAGGTAGCACAGGCAAATTGTTTGTATCTGTGCTCCCCACGTGACCAGAAGGCACCAGAAGGCATGGACACAGGCAGAGCCCCCCTAGGCTCAACATGATGGCAAAACACTGAAAAGAGAACATCTCTTAGATCAAGGCTGCTTCCTGGGAAGGAGTGCTGCATGGCCAGAGGTCCCTTTTACCAGTTGGGTGAATTCAACTCTTCTTTCCCTATATGATTATTGGCCTACCTGCAAATACTTTGCCTGGTATTGCCAAGAACCTGTCAGAAACAATTTTGCTTCCTCATAAGCAGAACAGCATGGCATGAGACAAACATCAAAACCAGGCTTTGATTCATAGCAGAATCTCCTGTACAACTTAACACCCTCTGACCTGCACAGATTACTATCCAGACTGATGACCCTCTGTATCGTTTCCCCAAGTTCACACATATGGCTAAAATTAGCTGTGCATCAATTTCAAGGTCAAATTAATAGGCTCTCCTCTCTGCTGAAATTTCTGCCTTTTCAAATCAACTGAATTCCAAGCATACTTGACCACACTGGAGAGTAGGAAAATGTTCCTTATTGAAAATGTAGCTAGGCACTGGAACAATCTCTCCAGGGAAGTGATCACAACACCAAGCCAAATGGAGTTCCAGATGCATTCGCACAATCATCTCAGGAAATATGGTTTGAGTTCTGGGCGATGCTGTATGGAACCAAGAGTTGGATTTGATGATCCATCCCTGTGGGCTCCTTCCAACTCAAGACATTCTGTGGTTCTATTATATGAGCTGAAAAGCTTTGATAAAATTTTAACTTAATCGTTCCTATTTCCATGGTTGAGAAAGCCTTAAATTGTTGCTCATAAAAATATTTCCATGAACCTGGAAACAAAAAACCAGTTTTCTTTACTAAATAACTTTCCATCTTCAGTATGAATTTCTACCATAAATAATAAAGCACTAACATGAGCCCATAGCATACAGTATACTTTAGGTTGATATCAGGCTATCTGTCAGCAAACTGACAGGCAATCTAATCAAAATTGTTAAGTTGAGGTAATTGTTTTCAGCTTGCAACACACTCTCATCAAACTAAGACTGATTTGCCAATGTCCTTTACCCTGGAACTATAAGACCAAGCTTTCTTTTCTAATGAAGTAAGATGCTAGCAACATACACAATAAAAAAAGCCTGTGCATGTAGCTTCAAATTATAAAAAAGAAAAGTTTTAGTGTAACTTAAACCTTAAATCAATTAAAATTTAAAATCTTATCAAAAGTATGGCAAGACATCTGACTTAGAAGCATAAATGGACGGCTTCTCTTTCATCCATATTCTCAATCCTTTTCTTGCTACGTAAAGGAAACAGCACTGACAGACAAAAAGAACTGCTCTATTTCAGCATTACTGTCAAAAAGTTTACATAAACAAATACTTTTTTCAAGTTTATAATTATAAATATGAACAGACTGAATAAACTATTTCTAATGTTGATAATAGCTATATGAAGACAAAATAAAAACATCTCTGGAAAACAGTCCATAACATAAGAAAAAGTGAATATATTTTACCCCATTACGTATAAGTTTTGCACAATCCTCTGCCATTTTTCCATATATTAGAACATTGAGGCTGTTAATCCTTGAACATGTGTCATCTAGGAAAAAAAAAATGTATCCAATTATCATTCCTTCTTTAAAACAGCAATGGGAAAAGGCTTCCAAAATAAACACATCTACAGAACATAACGTTTTTCACTCCAATTAATTTACAAACAGAAAATTACATAAATAGCTGTGCAATTGGGTTTATGTGCTAACTATAGGTAAATCAACAATCTGGATGGTGGCCAGCATGGTGAGAGAGGTGAAGAAAGAAGGCTCTTGGGGAGATGACACTGTGGTCTTCCAGTACTTGAAGGAAATTTATCAGCTGGAGGAAAACCAACCCTTTACATGGACAGATAACAATGGGACAAGAGGGAATTGTTTTCAACTCAGAGAGGTTAGATTTAGATATTACGAGGAAATCATTTCACTCAGAGAGCTGTGAGGCATTGGCATAGGTTGCCCAGACAAGTTATGGGTATCCCATCTCTGGAAGTGTTCAAGGCCAGGACAGATGTGGCCCTGGGCAGCCTGACCATAGCAGAAGGGGTGGAGCGGGATGAGCTTTAAGGTTCCTTCCAAACCAAGTCACTGCATGGTTCTATCAAGTAAGTAGCCTTTCAGATAGACTGAAACAGACATCAAGTTATTTTAGAAGGTTATTCTAGCTGTTATCATTTCAGAAATAACACTAATGATTTAGATGTGTGAACTTATTTTTGAGACTGTGCAGAATATATGAAAACTTTTAACCTGCCTGAAAAGCCTTGTGAAATTAGCACGACTTGAGAAGTTTTGTTGCTGTCCTCAGTAACCCCAAAGCCAGAAGATAAACGACTTTGTTCTCATCAACTTCATTCACCTCTGGTAACACTAATCACAAGCAGCATTTTCACATAGGATCTGAACTCCCTAGCCTACAGCTGGGTCACAGACACAGAATTTATATATTCAAAAAGGCTCATAAGGAGCAAGTGATGATTCCCTAACAGAAAGAAGAAGCTGAGAAAGAAGTTCAAGGAAATGGCAAGCTCCTCAAAACCATCTCAAAATCCTTTTCTGAACTGGTTAGTTTAAAGCAATGCAATACATGTACTGCAAATTAGCATACTGTTCTATATCAAATGTGTACTGAAATAGCATATACTGGGTAACTGTTGACTCTGTATTTTTCTTAGAACTTCTCTATGATAAGTAATTTAAAAATATGCTGTACTCATAACTAATGAATTTTCTGAAAAGTATTTTAAAAGATGCTGTAACAAGAAGTCAACCGAAAATCCAAATACCCTATAGCCTATATGGAAAAGTTTAAAATAATCTATTTTTTATGGAGAATGAATATGTTTCAAGTATAAAAATTTTACTGAATACTAAACAAAGCAATTAGTAGTGGTGGAACAGTATAACGTAAAAAAAAAAAAAAAAAAAGGTTGAAAAGTCTAGTAAAAATAAAAGTGTATTTAGATGGAGTACCTTGAAGAACAATCTTGAAAAAGTCTGTACCATCTCCAAGTTTTGTTAGTGGGTAGGAAAGAATAACTATTCCCTAAAATGTAAGAACAAAATTAAATACATATATATAAATATATGAACTGGGACCATACAATCAATCTATTGGTTACCGATACACTGATAACAAATGAAATGTCTTTAAGCTTAAAAAAAAAAAAAAAAGAGAACATATCTTTCTTTGTTTTAATTGGTGAAACATGCACAAGCCAGCATAAATGAGCTTCTAGAGATTTAAAGGAAGCACTATGAATGAAATAGCACAAGTTTAAATTACTTAGATGCTATGGCCTGGATAGTAAACAGAAATTGTAGCTATGGAAATACCTTTTTACTGCTTACATCATTAACACAACAGTTACACTTTTTGCACAAAGGCTAAAAAGTTGCTAAAATAAATAGAACATTCAAAACCTTATATCAAATTATTGTCAAAGGATTACAACATAAATATTCAAAAGAAATCACAGTCAAGAGATAAAAGACACAGAGATAAACAATATTCTGTAATATAAAAAATAGTCGGGATGACAAAGAACGCATCACAAAACTTGGAAACTCAGCAATATATTGATTTATCAATAACACTAATGCTCTAAAAGATGCAAATATATGTATGTGTGTGTATATTCAATCATTACAGTGAATTTCCAACTTGCATTGAAGCAAACTGTAGCAATTTTTCTTAACTTTCCTTTGGAACAAATGCATTGGTTTTCATTTTGCTTTTCAGAAACATGGCACCTCATCAATAAAGTTTCATCTTCAACGGAAACAAAGATGTCAGCCAAATGTATTTCTACACAGTATGGTAGATAAAGCACTATATCTACCTCAAAGATAAAATCACAGAGATTGGTTCAATGAAGAAAAATACAGAAATTTGAAAACTGAGTCTATGAACATCTAAGAGAACTATAAAACAAGACAGCAAATAAAATAAGAAGGTTCTTGTAAGGAGACAACAGATGCAATCACCAGTAACTGCACAAAGGCAACACTAAGACAACAGTCAGGTAAATCACTGTGATTTTATAATGCACGTATTCTGTGGGAAACATTATTTAAATGTTAGTAAACACCTCTTAAACCACATTAAGATAAAATATACAGCAGTGAATTGCTATTGTAGAGGCTTTTCAGAGTAACGTTAACACTATAGTAACAAATTAACTAAGGAAGAATCCAAATAAAATTCAACATAGCTTATTTGACTATTTTCTATAAAGAATTAAAATTCACAAGTTCTCCATTTCCAACCCAAAGCATACAAATTTTACTACTCTAAAACAAACAAAGCACCCTATGTTGAATTAATTTAATATTTACCATGTTGCTTTATTGCTTCTTAGACAGCAGGAATAACTTAAGACCAAAATAAAGGTCAAAGATCTATGACTACGTGTCTTGAGCAGTTCAGCTCCTGCTTTTCACAAGGAACACAGTTACATTTTGTAGAGGGACTGCAGTATCAAATATTTATTTTAGCAATCAGCATCCGCAGAATAATGTTTTGAGATCTGTGTATGAATACTTAAAGACAGGTTTTTCACTCATTCTCAAAATCACAACTTTGGAATTGCAATTACTAGGTACAATTGTTCTTGCTGTGATTATTTGTCTTGAACTGTATTCACCAGTAAAAGAAATTCCACAGATTTTTTTCTTGTAATGAAATCTGCAATAAAACCAAATCATTTCAGGAACACGATGTTCTTTTAGTAAAGAACACTCAATCCACTAAAAAACAGCATACATTTATGAGAAAGGGACTCTGCTTTTTGGCCATATTTACTTTCCACTTTTTTCCTCCTACATTCCAGTATCTTCAAATGATTTCTCAGATTCTGGTACCCCATTCTTATGTAGAACTGCCTGCTCCCATCAGTTTTCTTTGTATTCTGAACACCTACTCTCTAATCCTTTTCCCAGCACAAATGCCACCCACTGCTTTCTTAATTCACCTAAAACCCCTGGGCTCCAAACTTATCTAAAATTTGCCCTGGAAAAACCTGCTCAAATTCAATCCTCCCCCACAAATCTTGCAGTGTACATTAAAACTCAACAAACTTCTTCCAAATCCCTCCTCATTCCATATGCCACTAGACTCATCCTCACGCTGCTTATGTGCTATGCCTCTAGTGAATCTGTCTCCCTCCTTGCCACAGCCTAGTTCCTCAGTCTGGTCCAAAAGCCGACCTGGCAGCTGTAGCAGTGCTGTAGGGACATGACAGCACATTCTCAACTTTTGGTTCAGCTGTCAGGGTAAAGTCCAGAGGACAGAAAGTTAACAGGAGGTGGCATCAGGTTCAGTCAGGGCACAGCTCAACTGAGGAGGTAAGGACTTTTTTGTACTGTTTTCCCATAAATTCAAATTAAACTCCATATTCTTCAGAAAGATTTTTTGAAACTCTGGAGTAGCATGCTGTGCCATCACTAAGATAACCTGCAATCAGTGCATTCTCACACTCACTTCAAGCTTGGCTTGCGGAACTGGAATCTCCAACACATTTAATGGTGTATTAGCACAAGCTTTATCAGTCCTGCAGTTGGTCTGTTTTTATGCCAAGCCATTTCAGTCACCTACTAATCCATGCAGCATGAAGCTTTTTTCAAGCAAAATTCTGAGAAAGATTCTGTGCACTTCCAGCAATTACAATATCACATGTATGCTTAGTCTGTTAATAATCATTCTGCTTACCTATTGGAAACATTTATTTTGGCAGAATCGTTTTCTAATTCAACTTCTGCCTACTTGAGTATTTCCTCTGCAAACAAGAATCCCTGTCAGTGTCCAACCATTCTTGCAGAAAGAACTTTTAAAAGTAAGAAAGCCTATATGCCCTGCAGGTGAACGGAGACAGAAAACTATATCCTGAGGAATAAAAACCCTGCTTACAAGCAACACTCTTCATTGATAATTCCATTTGTCCCCTTACAAGACCCAGCGGAGACTGGATCACTCTTATTTATGTCATCAAATCACCTCCTATCACACGCTGCTGCGCTTCCAAAAAAGGCAGTTTTGCTCCTTTCTGATTTATCTAATTGCAGTACTCCTGGCATCTCTTTGACACCATAATGAATCAGTCTAGAGAACAAGAATAGGTGAAAACTACCGTCTCACTGTTAATACGATTAGTCTTGTGCAATTTATTTCCCTGAACTGACTCAACACAGAGTCAGAAAAGCACTAGGGCTGGACCTGGGAATACACAGGTGGGAAAGCAAGATGTTCTTTTTGCATACAAACTGGTACAGTTTATGTTTCTAAAATATTTGTGCCATTTTCTTTACAATGCAAGCCGCCTAAGGTTTTTTTCAGAATTTGTTTTCATTCTGGTCAGAAAGTAAGCTTGGGATAATGTTGACTTTCTGCCTCGTAAGTACCAAAGATGATAAACAGGATTTTCAGTAGCATATACGCAAAAAATTAAACAGGTTGAAAAAGAAAACCCTCAAGAACTGATGCTGCATTTTACATAGTATATTTGTTTTAGGAATGAAAATATTACTTCTGCACTTCACTAGGACTGTACTTTGAATCTGAAATATATTTGGGACTCCTAGAGAAATATAGTGCACAACTGATAATAAATAACAAAACTATTAGCACCGTGGGGCAGATAATTGCCACAGAGACATCTTTTCATAAAAATGGATACTGAATTGCTTCATACAAGCAAGGAAAACTGCGTTAACGGTCGTAACAGAGAAACGTGATCTATAAGGAGCATAGTAGTGCTTACTGCTATTTAAATATACATATTTACACCCTCCCTAAAGCCCTCAATTTTCAGCAGTCTTCTGTATACTACTGTAATTAGGTAAGAGGAAGAACTGCAAACCAATCAAGTCAATAGCAACAATGCAATGAAATTCAACACTGCCGACAAAAAAGATATGCAACAGATGAACAGAAACAGCACCAGTAAGTCAACAACACAGCTGAAATGTGGGGACACTTCACAAATTAGGCAGGAGCTATCTCAAAGCAAACCAAAATTTGTTTGTTAGTAAATTACCTGGAAATATTTGTTGGTATGGTCAAGTCCTATTTGCAAATGTTTTAACTCCTCCCTCTGCAAGTGGCTTGGAAGCTGAGTCTCAAGTTTTCCTTTACTGATCTTTAGCAATTGAACAGGCATAGCTGATACCTAAACGACAAGAAACAGACTCCTGATGTTACCCAAATACATCAAATTAAGAGTTACTATTAGTTGCAGCATACTCAGAAGGGGAAACCTATTTTCTAAAGGGAGAGCTTTATTAAATGACTAAAAAACTTCAGACGGATCAGTCTCAGTATTAAATACATCAGGAAGAGACAGTAACATTTGCTACACATCTGATAACATTTGACAGACCTCCATGACTATTTTGAAAACATTCCATTGTGTTGAAAATGGCAGCAAAATATTATTTTACTCATGATTAATAGCAGCTGGTGAATATAAAGGATAAAGAGTATGAATACTTTATATACAAAATACATGCTAGAAAGCAAGCAGGGACTTTGAATGGAAAAAGCAGAATCACGTTGCCACGAAAAGCAGACATAAAGCTCGAGCTCAATCACAGTATTTCAGCAATTTAGAGAAGAGGGTGCACAAGTGACAAATTATGTTTGTACTGCTCTGTTTTTCAGAACATTTTGTGCTTTAGGAAAGATTTAAACTCTGCAAAACTAAAAACAGCTAAGTTACTGCATGTTAACTGACTAGGCTTACCACACACTACAGAAAGCAAAGACCACCAGAAGGCTGTAAAAGGTCCTTACAATAATGGGAAGCTGTTAGTGAGAATCAGTCACATAGCAGATCCCTGCACTGAGGACTTGCATTCATGATGCTGCCCAGAACACAGATAGGCTGCCTCACCTGGCACTGATCTCAAGATACAGTGCAGTAATCCCTAGAATTAATTGCAGCAGCCTTCATCAAACCCCACAACCACAAAAGCAATTTAGAAAAAACTAACCAGCCACTTGTACTGAGTCAGTAACAAAGCCACAGTGCCATGCATCCTACCTCACAACATACATTAGGTCAGCAAGTTTTTTTTTTTTTTTTTCCTGTAACTTCCACCTCAGCATGCACAAGACAAGAAAGCTCCAAAAAAAAAACAAAACCAAAAACAAAAAACTTTTCAGTTGGAAGTATCTACTTATGATTGTTTACAAGGGTGGACAGTGATAGGACAAGGGGGAATGGTTTTAAACTGAGACAAAGGAGGTTTAGGTTAGATATTATGAGGAAGTTTTTCACACAGAGGGTGGTGATGCACTGGACCAGGTTGCCCAAGGAGGTTGTGGATGTTCCATCCCTGCAGGCATTCAAGGCCAGGCTGGATGTGGCTCTGGGCAGCCTGGTCTGCTGGTTGGTGACCATGCACATAGCAGTTGAAACTAGATGATCTTTGAGGTCCTTTTCAACCCAGGCCATTCCATGATTCTACTTCGTACTACATCCTAGCAGGATGACAATTTATTTCATCTGATCTATTTCATCTAGAAACAGTGAACTTCAGAGTTAATCAGTAACATTACTTTTCATTCAGCAGCACTATAATGAGCTAGGAAGATGTACAACATAATGAATTAACACTTCTTAAATTTCTTGCAGTTACAGTACGTGAGCAATTACGGACATGTTTGTTTTTCCCAGAGATGTGTAACAGCAAGATGCATTTTGTTACAGTTCAAAGACGGCTGTTAAATCAAAACAAAGAAAGAAATTCAGGTTAAAAAACCGCCTTCAAATTTTGCAGCCCCTTTGCTTTCTTTTGAGACAAAAGATTTTGCCATTTATGTCAATTGGACAAATATTCTGCAAGCGTCTCTATGATTAGAAAGGAAAATTTATGAAAAGGAGCCATATGTCAGTTGATGCAGTGGGACGTAGCCATATTATTTCCACTACTTACTTCATGTTTACTCCTACAATTTAGGTAATTTATGTAAATAATATACAAGTTGAAAACAAAGGTGGTTTGTGGTGTTCTTTTTTTTTTTTAAATCTTAAGTTTCCATACATGTAAAAATAAGTTCATGTATTTTAAATAATAATCACTGACGCTCTCAGGTTTTTGTTCTCTGCAATTAAAACATAAAGACATTAATGTGGATGCGTGCACATGTATATGCACATGTATATGCTGTAGTTCTAAGACCCACAGAAATACATTTTCGAGATCAAATTGATACAGCACGGGCATCCCAAATCTAGATGCAGATGTCTGTAGTGCTCTCCTCAGTGTTAACAGCAGCTCAGTGAAAATAAGTCTGCCAGGTGTCTCTTGTTCTCAAAAGGCTAATTGCGTAGCACTGACAAAAATCCCTTCAAATCTGAGTCTGCTGCTGTAGAATTCTCTAAGTGGCATTGCAGTTACTCATCAGGCTGTGATAGGTAGGAAGCATCACGGGGCACTCCTCAAACAGCAGAAAAAGTGGATGGGTTCAAAACACACACAGCAGAAAGAAAAAGGCAGTGAACTAAAAACCTCTATTGCCTTCCAAAAGCTAAAAGTGACAAACATACAGATCAGCCTCTGTAAAGGCTTAATAAGTTTAGCCATCAAAGAATTATGTAAATGATTTCATCTTGCATGTGAATTCAGGAGAGAGAAAAAGAGATCATTCATCACTTGCTTACTAAGTGAAATGTAACTTTGAAGACAGCTATGGGCTGAACTTTCCACATTCTGCTCTACCCCATAACTGTCTTTCTACCTAATTTTACCTGATTTTCTAACTTTTATATTTCTGACAGTAGAACAGTCTACTATAACCCAATAGTTCTATCTTAATTGTCTAGGGAATATTAACATATGTTCCAAAAGCATATAAAACACCTTATACCACAGTACACTGGAGAACAACTGCCTAGTAGAAAAAGCTTTAAACAAAGGTTAACCTTCAACAAAAATAAGCAGCAATTTTAGAATTTGTTCTTTTGGATGCATTGAGACACGTTCCACCAAGATAATGCAATCATAGGATGTCTCCATCTCGAGGTTCAGAAAGAAAACAGTATGCTACAATAAAATAATAGGTTTTAATAAAGAAGGACTCCACCTCATTCCTTTCTCTTGCAGCTTAACTTTAACAATCTCAGACCTCATTTAGGAAGCTAAGAAGCTGTCTCGGGTGCAGGCACAAGAAAAGCTGTCAGGCTCACAGTCCTTTCATCAATTCATACAGAAAGCAAAAGAACTAGCTTTCCATTTTACTTGCAACACACCTCAGAAACAAGCTTTGAGAGCCTGGTAACTTTAGTGTTAAAGTATATAACCAAAAGCCTAAGCACTTACAGAATCAAGCAGTAGCTTAGATGTGGTTTAAAGACTGTAATTTTTGAACTGAACACTGCAAGATAGGGTGTTAGGCAGAGCCTGAGCATTGAAGCCCTTTTGTGAAAGTCATATTCTTTTTTTTTCCCCCCCTACAGGCTTTTTAAACTTTTGTTAAAACTAAAAGATCTTAAATGTGTTTGGGGAAAGAAACAAACAAACAAACAAACAAACAAACAAAAAAAAAAAAAAAAAAAAAAAACACCAGAACTTGAACTCTCAGACTAGCTCTATAATCCTTTAAGGCACACTGCAAATCATTAAGACAACACAAGCTGCAGTGGCAAATGCATTTAACACCACACAGTCACAAACAAAACTGCTGATGTGAACAATATCACAGCATGAATGAGAGAATAACAACAGAAAAGTAAGCAATATTTTTCTTACTAAGAAACATGCAAGAAGAAATGTACAGAAATGTAAAGAAGTATAAATTTGTTCTTATCATCAAAAGATTAATCACTACTTCTGATCTTCCTCCACGTATCTCTAAGAAACACAAAACAGCAAATCTTACACTTCAGCTAGCATAGTAAGGGGGTAAAAATTTTCTACAATATTTTCAACACAGAAAACTGCAGGTTGCAAGCTTGCAGGCACACAAAAACACTCTTGTGTACTGCTGATGTTAAATTAAATATACCAACAAGCTGTAACAGTCTAGAGGGCATTCTTGCAGTTGAAAACACACCAGCCATGACAGATAGGTCAAGTCAGCCTCCTGTTAGAATCAGTTCACATACATTCTGGATATACAGGTTGCTGAATTCTTTTGGAAAATGCTTTTCGAGAATCTCTAGGATGCAATGAAGATCAACTGAATTTTTACAATCATAGCAAATTATAAATAACTCAGTTTACTAGTAATGGAATTATCACTCAAAAGACTTTGTACCTCTGAGTAGATACAAGGAACCAGTAATATAAAGAAAATAACATAAAGACAATCACAATTAATGTCCTACTTTTTTTCCCCCACTCCAGATCAAGGGAAACAAGCATTTAGTCAAAAATATGACAAAGAGATTACAAAGGAAGAACTGCACGCTGCATTTATTTGTTGAATGTGTCCATCACTTTTGTCTTCCACGTCCAGTTCTCTGAAACATACAATTCTGTTATTATCTTCAGAAGGGGAGTCAAAAGACATTTCAAAACAAACAAAAAAACAAGAGCTCATAATACAATCCTAAGAGATGTAAGACAACCTTCACTACTTACTGCTTATACCAAAATAGTCAGAATATGAAATACATACTACAGACAATAGAAGTTCCTTGCAGACCCTTGCAAGTGTGATAATGCAACTGCTCTTAATCATGAAAAGAACAACACTGGAAAATAAGTCCATTGATACTCTTCATCCTGACCCTAGAATTAAGTTCAAGCGGGAGGAAACAGAAGTTGCATCCATTTTATTCTAACAGTACATAAATCCAGGACAGATTATCCAGCATGGGATAAAAAAGAATTATATTTCTAACTGGATTACACAGACCCATCCAACCTACTAGCTTTTGTTCAAGTCAAAGGTGTGCATACACTATGGGTCCTATTTTTAGGCATTACTGCAACTAATAGATTGTTCTTCTGTACTCTCTTTCCAGAAATGAGATTAGCTCTGAAGCAGAAAAATAAAGAAATCTCAAGAAGCAATAGATAAACTGGAAAGATTACTTTTTTTCTCTGTAACAAGAAACATTTCACTGAAAATACCATAAAGAGGATTAATGTCATTTTGGGACAAGCTATAGCAGTTTAAGGCACAAGGAAATTCCTTATCTACCAAAGCAGATGCTACTTGCAGAGATGTGCTCTAAGTCATTCTCCAAATCAGAGAATAAATGCATTATTTTGTGGACTCAGATGAAATCTCACCAAAATGCCATGAAGAATGACATAACAGCCAAGAATATTAGCATGTAACTGATGGGGGGAGCCAAAATGGTATATTTCTGAAGCCCCTACAAACACACAAAGGACTGAGCACAATATCTGGGATCACTCTGCAAGATCTAAAACAAGTCTGAAGAAGGCAATGGTCCACCTTTAACACAAACGTGTATGTAGAGACAGTAATGTAGCCTTATAGTTTCTGTTCAGTTTTCTCATAAAAACCATTAAACAAACAGAAGTCCTACAACCTGGATCAATCCTCCCATCATCGACAGGAGCAATCTTTTGTTGTACTGCAGTTTTAATAAAACCAAGAGGACAACTTAAGAAGAAAGACCTAGTCTGGAAGTTTTTTTCCCCTCATGTTGTAACCTGAGGAGAAAACATGACATCATCTAACTAAACAAAAGGAAAAGCCAAGAGAGCAGCATGACAACCCACTCCCTTGGCTGCTGGGCTTTAGCATGTGCTGGCAAAAGCCTTCTGGGGCACATGAACAGCAGTAAGTTCAGCCCACTTTTGCTCTAACAGAGCTGACTACTATCATACAATTAGAATTCTTACAGATTAATACAAACTCATTTATTCATTTCAACTTGTAATCTACTAATTGTACAGCTTAACAGGCCAAATCTATGCATTTCTGGTGGAAAATGTTCTGTTACTGCCATTATCAGCAGCACTTCAGCCCTGAGAAGCAGCAGAACTACATTTCTTGTGAAGGCAGAGAGAGGAAGCTCAGTGCACGAACTGTGAGGACTACCATTAAGCCAACAACTGCCAAAAAGCACAACGTTTAAAACCAATGGCCTGGGTGCGTTACTTTAGCACGAGAACTACAAGGTTATTAGCGCTGATGATGTAAACGTTTTTCTTCTGAGCACTCAGAGCCAAACTAGCTTAAACAGGATTAGGAGAAAAGAAATAATAGCATATATATGGATACTTCTAACCGTTCTAACACTGTATCTGTCACAGCGGGGACTCGGTCTCCATAGAGAACGGCTGCGGGGCAGTTCAAGCAGAAGAGAAGTGCAAGGGCTCACGCTGAAAGCAGAACCTAGTCCGGGCAGCACAGGGCAGCTGCACTCCTCCCCTCAGCCCTCGGTGAGGACACAACTCCGCGTCCCGCCGCTACCTGCTCGAGAGGGCGGCAAGGAACGGGCCGCCGCCGCACCGCCTTCCCGCTTCCGCCCGCTGCCCACAGCGAGGACCCGCGCATGCGTACTACCCGTGCCGATGGGTAGTAAGAGCATGCGCTGTGAGCAGGCAGGAAAGCGCTGCCTTCAACCGCGGCCCGAGAGGGGGCGGGCTTGGCGGGGCGGGCTTGGCGGGGCGGGCGGTAAGGGAAAAGTGGCGGCGTGGTGGGGTGTTCGCTTTTCAGTAGTTTCTGGTTTCTGTAGTCCTGGGAGGTTGGCTCTGGTTTCATTTTTTTTGCTTCTCCTCGCCAGAAAATCCCGCAGGAAATGATTTTCTCCTTTTCCTACCTGTGCTATTCTTCCACTGCAGTTCCCTCTCTATGCTCTTTTGGAGTTCATTTAGTTAAGTTGCTGCTGCCCTGTCCTTGGAACATTCAGTGTCAGGCTGGAGGAGGCTCTGCACAACATGATGTAGCTGTGTCCAGGTGTTTCTATTCATTGCCAGGGAGTAGGACTAGATAAACTTTGAAGATTGCTTCCAACTCAGACAATTCTGTTATTCTATGATTTCCAAATGTGTTTTAAAAAATGTTGTAGTGACGGTCAAGTCCATAAGCAATATTGAAAATACTGCCTAACTTTATTTTATTCCAATATTTTATTAAGTAATTGCAGAATTGTCTGATAGAAGCTGTCTCTGTATGATGTTTTCTGTGTTGAACATGAGACATTTTATAGGCTACTGATACAACGTTAAATGTGAAATACACAGATGACAAATAATGCAGATCTCAAAAAGGGTCAGCTTTGGTTTCATTTCAGAGCTACTGTAAAAGAGTAAAATAATCAAAACTATTCCTAACTGCTTCCATACCTAAACACAGCCCAGTCCAGCTCCTTTAATGCTTGCTTTTTGTTCACAGCACTTGATTTTTTTAGTAGATTCTTATGGACACAAGCCTAGTTCAATCAGTTATTGGGCATAGATCATCTGCAGCACATCTAGAATTAGATATTAAAAGAACTGATAGACTAATAGACGCTACTTCAAATTTCTTACAATGACTAAGATGATGGCTGTGTAAGTATTTAGTTAATTTTAGTGATTTCCCAGAAAACATTTTGACTAATTGCATCTTTGTAAATGTAGTTTGTGTGCAATGAATCAATAAGGAATCATATGACTATATCATACTTCTGCCTACGAAGTGTTGTGCTTAAATATTTTTCCTTCTCTAAAAGATCTGTAAGTTTTTGTTGTCACTGCTGGAAAGCCTGAAATGCAAAAACAAGGATAAGAGAGTCTTTTGAAATAAATGTACAAGAAGTACAAATATTTAATTCTTCATTGTTTGTTTTACAGTACTGTTCTGTGTAATTTGAGCTCACTTATGTTATGGCTTATATGGATGTGAAAAAAAGAGCATACATTTAGCGGGTATTTAATGGATAAATTATTGTAATTTAAGAAACAAGATTTTGCAAAGCAGGATAATGCCTATTATTAGGCCAAATTGCATAGGGTAGGGATTGTATATGCTATATGATAGCAGCGAAACACTTTCACAGGCTATTGCTGGTATTTCAGGAGCTGGCTCACATTGCAGAATCATAACTGGCGCCCTGGCCAGAAGAAGCCAGCTTCAGATAACTCATGAATGAAGTAGTGGATGAAGAAAGATTCAGGGCAGGAAACAATTTTCTCCCATTCCTACAAGATAAGTAAACGAAACAGGAGATGATCTAGGAAAAAGCAAGAGGCTGAATGTTGGCAGTGGTGTGAAGAAGGAAGGTCTCCACTGTTGAGATTCTGGAGGTTTCTCTGCTTGTGGCAGTTCTGTAGTTCAGCAGCTTTAAAAAAAAAGTCTGAAAATCTCCAAGTTCTCCTGTAAGGAGGGTGTTACATGATATGTGGAATCTCTTGTGCCTGCTGGCTGCTTCAAAATTTACAGGGTTTTTGAGCATTAAGATAGACATTAATAGCATATGAAGAGTTATTGTAATTGGTTTAAACTTTGGAACCTGACCCAAAGCTGTTGAAAGTCATTGTTAGTTTTTCCATTGTTTTCAAAGCTTTCCTATCCACTGAATCATTAGAGATACTGAAAATTAGACTTTTGTTTGCTGTTGTTAAATTTGAAACTTTCTTCTTTTCTAAATTGAATACACTCATTAAATATTCTTGCTTAGTGTTCTTAGGTCATTTGCTTAGCAATAGGATTTTATTTTCTAGTGAGCCATCCAACAACTTTCTGTAGAAATGAGAAATAATGGGTACTTGTAGCTGTTTTTCATTAAATTTCATTACATGAAATACTCCTTAGCTTTAAGAATGTGAAAAGACTGTATTTTACCCTAACACCTCACCTGTCTGACCAGCTGCAGAGGTTAGTACTTTCTTCACTGATGCTTAAAGGCTTATTTCTCTCTAAGATGACCTGCTAGTGTGATGCATGTCTTGGGAGTAGGATAATGAAAGGAAACCCCAACATTTTTGACATAATGATCTTTTCTTTCATTTCAAACACAGGAATAAAACCAAGAATATCTGTTCAACAGAATAAACAAAAAAAAAAAATATGCAGTGTTCATACATAGAAGATAGTTAAAATGAATATGGTACTACTGAAGTATTTGGTTTTTTTTTAAACTTCATATCAGAGAAGTCTTTTCATGTCATTTATTGTGTGTGAGTTTTGGTAAGTCTGCTTTAGGTGTATACAATGGCAGATAGGAAACTAGGCTTATGTTTTCAAGGAAGTCATTAAAGAACTTATTTAAGGGTCCAATTGTGTGAGCACAGATAAATAGAATTATTTCTGCAAGAGCCGTTCAAGTATTACCTGCAAAATAATTGTTTCTTGCTCTGTTATTTTCATTAACTGATGCAATTGCTTTCCTTTGATATGTACTAAAGCCTGAGAATTATTATTATCATTTTTCTTTATGAACCAGTTTATTTTGAAAATATTCTCTTTCAGGAATGAATGTCTAGCTTTGGTTATTATCACAGGCATCACTGTCCTCACTGTGGAATTCTATGAAGTAGAATCCTTCAGTGTTTAACAACCTGATAGAGAACAAAAAAGCCAGTCTCCACCCCACTAGATTTACAAAATACACTAAGACCTCTAGAACTGGAATTAATCCATAATGCAGTGAGACATTTACGTTGAAATGAAAAAATCCCGTGCTTTTAACCTCTTTAACTTAAGTGTTTTAAGAAAAACTAAAGAGAACTTTATCTGTGATGACTGACTGACCTCCTTACTTTAAAATATTTTTATAAATATGCTTGTCTTCAATCTTCCAATTATTTAATCAGTGTATTTTGTTAGGCTAAGAGAAACAGCATTTTCCAAAACATGGTAAACACTATATATATACATATATACATATATATATATACACTAAATATTGAAGTATACCTTTGGGGTTTTGACCTTAGATGAAATGAGTAAGCGTCCATCAACAACTGAATAAAGAGGAAAGACTTCTAATCTTTAAGATAACACCAGTTAAAACAGCTTAGTGATGATGCACTCATCTTTCCTTCTAGTGCTTGCTTAAGAGTGCTTGTGAGTTCATCCATTACTGGCCAGTTATTTAAGTGAATCCTCAATAGTGTGATCCTCATTTTCTAATGTGGACTCGGTGGGACTTAAATCCACCTGAAATTTTGCAAGAGTGAGGATTCTTCAGCTGCATTAAGAGCTCATTTAGTAAACTACTCAGCTTTAACTGTGAGCTAACAGGCTCAATTTTCATAATGCTGTCAAAACAGATATTCAGAACCTCCAGAATTATAGGAATATACCTGTATGATCTGACATCTTTGGCAACAAAGATGTTGCTGTGGTCTCCAAAATTCAGCACACCTAGGAAGCATGGTAATCTGAAGAAAAGCTCTCAAAAAATGTCATGTACTGAAGATGTTGATTCCTTGTTGTAATACAAAAGCATTTTGACAAATTCAAGAAAATTATTTAAAAAAATACTATGCATTCGAGCGACAAGCAAAACATACTACACTTAAGCAAAAATAATCGACTGCATAAACATGTAGAGATAAAGGGCCAGCTAAATGCAACCCATTTAGAGAAAAAAAGGACTGATTCACAGCTGAATGTGAGTCAGCCATGTCATTCTGTTCTGAAGAAGAATAAATGACATATACAACCTGTGAGATACATAAAGTAACCTTCCTGTCCAAAGCCTCTCACAAGCTGAAGTAATGTGTTCAATTTCTGTCATAAAACTTCAAGAAAAACATAGGTCAGTTGGAGAAAGTTGAAAGGATCCCAGTGAGAATGATGAGAGGCTTAGAAAACCTGACCTCCGAAGATGGATGGAGAGACCTGGGGTTATTTAGTTTGAAGTCAAGGGCATTTTTTCTCATGAGGAGTTATGTAGGATACAACCAAAAAGGCAAGTAAAGAAGAAATAATTGTTTCTCTGTGTCCAAGGTATATAAAAAAGGAAGTTAATGAGCTTAAATTCCAAAATGAATTATTCACATTAGGTAGACTTTCTGACAAAAAATAAAGTGTTGAGGTGTGGAATAATTTTCCCCAAATTTGCAATGATGTGTGGATTTTTTTGTACCAGATTAATAGAAGATTTAGTTTGACTAGCTGATCTGTCTCAGAGTAGATGGATGGGTAAGGTATCCTCTTAAGGTCACTTCAGCTCATTTTTTGATGATCAACTCATTTTTTGATGATTCTTTAAGATTTTATATGAAACATTTATCTCATTCAAGTTTATTCACTTGCTAAAGCTGTATTTTTCTCAGATAGCATTATTCAAAGCTGTTTGCCTGAACCCAAACAGACCAGTAGTCAGGAACCAGTCAGGGAGTCTTTTCCTGTGCAGACCATGAAATAGATATTTAGAATATGCAGCTTTTTGTGGCTTAGCATTTGTTCATTGCATCTGTTTGAATGTGGTTAATAAATGCTTAGAAACTATCATTTAGTTTAATTTTA